AATTCTGTTTTGCAGTTCTGTTAATTTCCATCTCCATTAGGTCATATGATTTTTTTTATTAGACAATTACAAAAATATATTTTTTAAAAAATAATAATGTACAAAAATCAAACAGTAATTCTAGGGAGCAACCTTTTGGGGTTTTTGTTTGTATATGTATAAAAAAAATTTCTATACTGAAATGAAAGCATTCTTGAATAGGCAATTGCATGAATAACAGGTCACTATTTACAAGTCCTTCTCATCTCTAAATCTTATTTTTCAACTTATTTGTGTGGGGTTTTATTGTGAGTTACTGGGCTGGTTGAATAAAAAGTAGTAAATGCTTAAAAGTAATTAGTAAAAGTAAAAGTACTTACTGTAATTAAAACTTTGAAGTAAAAGTACTTACTTTTTTGTGTGTGAATAAAAGTTTACTTCTACTTATTAGTAAATGCTTACAGTTTTAAGTAAATACTGGCAACACTTACTACTATCAGCACTATCAAAATGGCGTCAGCATGTGAAGAAGGAAGCCAACTGATCTTTGCAAATGTTTTAAAAAAATATAAAATATTATTAAACTTGTCACAGGTTCCTGCTAAAAGAAGAAAAGAAATTGCCCTTCAACAAATGATTGAAGAACTGAAGATAAATCATGCAATTGAGATGAATAAGAAACAACTCATGAAGAAGCTGAACAATATGAAAACCAATTTAAAAAAGAAGACAGATCTGAAATAGACTGGGAATAACCCAAAAAATGTATTCTTCTGGAAACAGAGGAAACTAAGTTCCTATCAAATAGTGAGTTACAACGATTGGTGCTTCTTGAACAGCTGAAATACATATGGATGAAGAAGGGCGACTTAATGAATTATCCTCACCAACCGTAGTTTTATTGCCTTCAGGTTCCAAATTATCAGAACAGTCAGAAACTTAAATGAAGATATTATTAGTACTTGAACTCGATACTTGAAATGAATATATATATATAATTTTAATACAAGGATTGTTCAGTATGCACATGTAGACCAACTAATTTGAAGAGTTAAATATATTCTTGACTTCTAAAAATAGTCATGTATATCATGCTGTTTAAAACAAGAAAATACTGACTGCAATTTATAACACAAAAGGATTAACTTTCTTAAAATTGTAAAGTACTATATTATTTTTCCGACTTTCCAACGATTATCGACACTACTGTGTGCCGGAAATAGCCGTTCCCTAACGGGTACTTTACGCGGATTCGCGTTAGTGTGCCAGGCCTGGACTTTAAGCGTGCACCGAATTAAATAATGACAAAGTTTGTCAATAACAAAATCAAATATTTAATTAAACTATATACAGTACTTCTAGTAATAAACTATATACAGTATTTAATAAAATTCAAACAATAATTTATTCAATGAAATTCAACAAGAATCAATCCGACAAACTCAAATCAATCTATTTCTAACTTAATTCTATTCCCCTTTGGAATTCGACAAAATCAAAGAATTAACTTATAAACAATAATTCTTATAAATTAAAGATCCTAATCGTCACCTCAATATACTAGGAACCTATTTCCTCAAACTCTCAAGACTTTCTATAATCGTCGATCCACAAATCGAATAACTTCAAAATCCTATCGGACACCTCTCTCGTTCACTGCTACGAAGCTCACCAAAGCTCGTTGCTATCAGGAATTCACCTCGTTCGTTTTCACTTGAGTTAGAGGCTTTATAGTGTGAGGTGACGTCACAATTCTGAATGAGCTCACTCTCCTCATTTACATACTTATCTGTAACATTAAATTTTTCTTGTTTATCTGGCAGATTATTTTCCGACAATACTTCGCTAACCTTTTACATTATTCTTTTTAACAATTATCGGGATGCTTTATTCTTTTAAGGTTTAGCGATTCCTAACTGGGTTGTGGGGTCTTCCCCCCCTTTTCTCGGTGAGGACTTACTTTTTTCCGCTTGGGAAGCGCAAGTGTGCACGAGTTTTTCTACGGCGCTTTTCTTTCGTCGGTGAGTTGGTTTTTCTTCTATTTTTAAGTTACTAAGGTGAATGGTGAGGAAACCTTCGTCTTAACTAAACATAAGCCCCAAACAAAATATAATGAAAGCAAAATAAAAGTAAAATAAAAATAAAGCTCAGACTTGGTTCCTTACAAAATTAAAGTATTTGTTACAAAACTAATTAAAAACAATGAGACTATTAAATACTATTTACTCTGAAAATTGTTAAATTTAAAAACGTATTTTTGTTTATGTATGCAATAAAGTTGTGTACTTTCTATGCAAGATTCTTCCTTCATTAAAAATACTACTATTTTAAACATTGAAATTTCTATACATGAATCCATATAAAACCACAAAATGAATCCTTATATAAAGAGAGTTTATCAATTAGAGTACAAAATGTCAGTGATGGTTTTCCTGATGTCTTTTCCTTGTTTTTGAATTTGAGCCTTGATTTCCTCGCATGGATCCTCATCTGAATCATCACATTCCTGCAATATTTCAGGGAAATCCAAGCAATCATCATTTAAGTATTTTGATACGTTGTGGAGAGCAAAACAACAAATGATTAAAGAAGTTACTTGATCAAGTGCAACTCTCATTATATAGGCCAAAATAGGAAACCTGCATTTCACCTGTCCGAAACAACATTCAATAATAACACGTTCCTTTGTAAACACTTTGCTAAAGTGTTCTTCTTCAGTAGTCTTAGGGTTGTTGTAGGAAGTCAACAGCCAGGGCAAATACCGTAGCCAGCATCTCCGAGTAGAAGTTCATCTTTGGACTTCATCATAACTTTACTTTCTGCACTGCATTTCCAAATTTGACTGTCGTGAACACATCCAGACCAATGCGCATCGACACTAGTAAACCACTCATTGGCATTGCATGTGACCTGAATGTTTATCGTCGAAATTCATTTCCTGTTGACAAATTCATCCCCATGAAGGCCAGGTTTCAAGATTTGCATATGTGTACAGTCAAATGCTCCAATACACTTTGGAATCAAGAATCATTTTCGCCAATTCTGTTTTGCAGTTCTGTTTTCGCTAAATGTTTTTGGAAACCTTATCCAGTCCCTGCTTTTGCAATAACGCAGTCAGTTACCTAAATACTGTAACTTAGTTTTATGTAAATAATACTGCAAAACATTCAAATTTACCTGTTAGTCTGAGAGTGCTTGGGTGAACACCGATGTCATTTGCAACTCCTGTCTGAAATCTGAGATCAGAAATGTATCTTAGAAATATCATCATTTTAGCTTTGGAGGAAAGGGCACCACCCCTTGTCTCATTTTTACAACCAAGAAAGTGGTTGGCAATCCACTCCACGTTCTCTTCATCAAATCAATATAATTTCCTGAAATTAGCAGTTATCATATTGTTTCTGGGTCTATACTGCTTAGTTTTTCTTGACAACATTGTTAGATACAACAAAGCCATTTTCTCTGTGTTGAAAATCAAAAATATATGAATGTGAAACCTTTTACTTGTGTTTTAAAGGTAGCTGTAAAGCTGACTTCACTGTTTTGAAGTATTTACTTAAAAAAAGGAAGCTTTTACTTATTTTTATTTACAGATTTATAAGCATCTTATAATCAAAGTGAATAAAACCAAGCTTTTACTTTTTGCTTTTACTACCTTTTACTGTTAGTAAAAGCATTTACTAACTTTTATTTCATCAAACTTCTAGTAAACACTAGAAAAATTGTAGTAAAAGTATTTACTACTTTTTATTCAACTGGCCCACTCTATATTCCACCAATGCTAAATAATTTGAAGGATCACACACAGGTTGTTTGTGAAACTGTTACATTTACTATAAAATATTTAATTCAAGATCAGTTATCATCTTGATTGTACATGATGGCACATTTACTGAATTTATTAATGTATTAAAAAGAGTTGCTCTTTATGTTGATGTAGAATTCATTTTTATATGTTTATAGAAAAACTTTGATAATCATTTATATTTTTATGACATTCCATTGAAATATTGAGATTTAAAATACAAGATATAACTATTCATTATAAATAACCTTGTATAATAGTATTTTTTATTCTATTGGTTTCTCTTAATTATGAAAGATTTAAATTAAACTATTATGTTTATAATTACAGTACTCATTGTTTAATTGGACAATTCAAATTAGAGAACATACCCATTACATTGGATGAATTGCCCATATAGATAGTCAATGTACCAACAGAGGATGATTAATTTTATTTGCATTCAAGAAGTCACACTAAAAATATTAACATTGACATAATGCTATGGAAATTTGATGATAAAAAAAAAGCAGACAACCGCAATTAGTTTAAAATCATTCTTGTTTCTTATTTTCTATATTATTTTATATATTATTTTTTTAATGCTCTGTTTAGTTTTTAAGTTCCATTAAAATTATTTTTTTCCAGCACTTTAAGAATGATTAAGACTGTTTATATTTTAATAAATAAATGTGTTTTTTTTCTTAAAAAACTTTACAACAGGTTTATTTTGTTTTATTACAATAATTTTAAAAAATTTTATAGACAAAGAATATTGCTGTAGATATACAAAATTTTTCCATTTTCTAGTTAAAAATATATCGTTAAGTGCTTAAACACATTAATTAAATTTCACTTAAAATTTTCAATAAGACCCAACATCCCCAGTAAAGCCTCTATAGTTGTCTAGCTGTGTCATTGCATTGAATGAACATTATAGAAATAATATCTATAAAAAACACAGTCAATTAAATAGAAAATATCATAATAATTTATACTGTTTCAATATAGTTTTTTTTTTTTTTATAAAAGTTAATGTTTGCTTTGTATCATAATGGATTTAAGTCATTTCAGATTTTAAATAATAAACAAAATTACAGGGAAACCTGATTATTGAAATTAAGTTGGGGGGGAAAACATCCAATAATTGAACACAATATATTAGCNAGTAAAAAAGATATTTTCTAGAACAACCAGAAGTGAAAAAAGAATAGAAGAACTCAAAAAAATAAATAAGAAGTACTTGTTGAACAATTATCCGAAAAGATTGCTGAGGAACTGGTATGATGAATATTCAAAAAGAAGATTTCAAGTAAAGCAACAAAAAGAAAGTAAAAAGTATGTTTCTTTTCCATATATCCAAGGTATTTTTGAAAAATATAAAAAAATTTTCTGTAAAAACTTAATACAATTGGCTCCATTGCAAAAAAATAGATTATCTGAATTAATTAGAACTGAACCTTACAGAAAGAAAGATTTATTGGAAGAAGATGGAGTGGTTTACAGGCTTCAATGTACGTGTGGAGTACCGTATTACTACGTTGGAGAAACGAAACGGAAACTAAAAGTGAGGATGTCGGAACACTTGGCAGCAGTACGAAATAAAATTAATACATCCCCGGTATTTTTGCATTGCCATGTTAACAACTGTCAATTAGATATTAATAATGTAAAAATAATACATAAAGAGAAAAATATTGTAAAAAGAAAATTTAAAGAACATTTCGCGATAATTATGCAAAGTAATGTAATGAATTTGAATAATGGGGTGATACCAGCGGAATGCTGGAAAGAGTTTGTATTACTTAAAGATTGTAAACGCGATAGTATCAGTGAGAAAGATGTGTCTTCTACTGTGTCTACGACGGAAAAAAATGTGTCGTTTAAGATACCTTCTGCTGTTTCTATTGTACACTCTAGTCGTCAGAAACCCTACTGAGGAGGCCTTGACAGGCGAAATGCATTTGGGGTGAAGTATATATTTATAAAAATAAAAGTATATTTTCCTTGTTAACCTGTTTACCTTTTTTAATTTTTTTATACCAGTCTACAGACTCGGGACTTATTAAGCCTCCAAAAGTCAGAAACGAATGGAAAACTAGCAGTTTTCCGTGTACTAATAAATAGTACAATACGGTAAAAAAATAGATTATCTGACTCCATCGATTCTTTTTAGAATATTTTTATTGATTGAACACAATAATTGAAAAGAATAACATATGGGAGATAAGTGATTGTTGCCAAGAATGTTCCAAAATTATGATTAGAATTTTAAATATTAAAAATTACACTAGATATTTATTTATGTATATACTTTAAAAGGAAAAGATAATAAATTAAATGCAGCTTTAAATTTTAAAACAATATTATTAAAGAAAAACATACATTCTTATATTACTTTTATGAGACTTCTTTAAAATAACTAGACTTCTTGTTTCAAAAATTTATTCTTCTCTTAGTACTTGACTTGATAACAGCAAATAGTATTTTCTAGTTTTCATACTCCTTTATTGAACATTCAATGTTAATTTTTTTTAAAGAGGTTCACAGACATGAAACATTTCATCAAGTTTTTTAATGTGAATTTCACCATTACTGTTTAAATGTATCATCTCCAACATTTCACCCTGCACTTTACAATTTGCATAATTTCTTCTGGAATACCATTAATTTTAGAGTTGAATTCTTGAAAATCATATATGCATTCAAGAATAAGTTTTTGCTAAACAGCTTTTATGTTAGTTAGTGTAATTTTTCTCTGCACTTCTTTAACGTTTTCAAGAATATTTTTATGCTAAAATTTTCTTATTTTATCAAAGATTCTTCTCTTGTTTTGAAATTTCAATTCCATGGTTAAATAGGTAATATGCTTTAAATCCTGAAATGATCCCCTGGTCCACAGAGTGGAGTAATGAAGTCATATTGGATGGTAAAAAAATTAGTAACATTTTGACTCAAATTATTAGGTTTTGTTGAGTGATCAAGAACATTATTTAAAATTAACAAAATTATAAATTCAAGATTTATGTAGCAAAATGAATTGCATGCTTTATTGATATTGCCAGTTTAAATTTAATCTCAATCTGAAAATTTTGATGTAAGTGATTCAAATTATACTTTGCACCATGTCCAGTATGTTTTGAAAAGTTGTCAATGAAGAGATGTTATAGGCAGTTGAGAAATCATTAATTTGGAAACTTGCAAAAAATCTTAATGTATTGCAAAAATAAGAATTGTTGAAACTCTTCTTTTCCTTGGAATGATTGCAAAAAATGATGATTGGGTTTGGCATTTAAGTAAAAAAACAAATTGGATAAGTGTCAAAATGTATTGCACCATGAAATTGTTAAAAACACAAGAATTTACATTTCATATTTCAAACTAAAAAAAGACTAAATGAAAACTTTAATTTGGTGTAAAACTGTAACTCAAAGTTTTGGAGCAATAATTGGATTTTAATATCAAATAAATACCCACAATAACTCAAGAACCATGTTAATTGAAACTGCAATAACTGGGGTATCCCTGTATTATATTGATTTGTATTATATTCAGCAGAGTTTATAAATATTATGAAAATATGTGTGGAATAAGTCCCCATACTTAGGCAAAACACATCAAAGTTACTCAATACATTTGCTATGTTCACCATTGTGTGTTATACACATGTTGAGATGTTCTTCCCATGCCTGTTGGACACATGACATATCTAGGCTTACCATAATATTTTTTTTTCAAGCCAGGACAATTTTGAGAAAATACTCACAACAGAAAATAAAGCATACTAAGATAAGTACTTATGATCGAAAAGTTTATATAAAAAGTTGTAAACAAAAAGACGAATTAAAAGTAATTTTTAATAATTCAACTGAACATACCTTATTATTAAGAAGTTATTAATATTTATCATTAGTGTGAAATTCTTTGTCACTTAAATTGGTACCTTTAAAATATGACAATATATTTCAGAAAGTTCCTATTTCTACAAGGCTTGCCTTATGTTTCACACATTTCAAGTGATTTTTAATATTTGAACACCCACAATGAGTTACTAAAAATTCTGAAAAGCACAGCTCATATTTTACTTCTTCAATACAATCACAGACATTTTAAAAAATGGATAATCCTTTATTGCACTCTTAGAACCTATAACTGGTGTGATATAAAAACAAAAGATAAAGATTACCACTTATACACAGTTTCTTTTTGGCATTTTAGAGATTAAATTAATTTAATGCACAGTACAAAATAATCGAAAATGCCAACTAGAAATTTGAACCCAACTAGTTACATTTAAATAAATTATCTCAGCAACTTTAGGTGTAGTTGAGAGGTCTATTCCTCTAGACAATATTAAAAATACTTAGATCTAGATACAAAATATTTAGATTGGCAACAGTGAGTGTAACAGAGGGGATTATTTAGTTGCAAAATTGCCATTTTACCCGAGGCTGCACTATTTTTCCTTCTTGTATATTCAGCACTTTAAAAATTTTACCAAATAACCGGGACAAATGACAAACTGGCCAGGATGCAGGGACTACATCATCAAAACGGGATGTCTGGTAACACTAGACATATCTGATGATAGGGAATCACAGGCCTCAATGACCCTTTTCATGTGATTGATGATGATAATTTTTTACTGAAAAACAGTGGTCTTCAAGAGTCTCCAGAGAAAATTAACAGGATAAAGTCTGGTGATTACATGGTCATTCAATCAGTCTGCAATGACTTATCTATTATCCAAGGAATTGCTGATCCAACCAATATCTAATGTTAGTGCCTTAATGAGAGGATATCGCATCATATTGGAAATACAGCAGGAAATGATCATCATCATCAACAGTATGACAATAATTTTAAACATCTCTACACATGTCCTCATTATCAGGTTATTTTCAGTAAAGATTGGTCTAATCATATGATGTTTCCATAGGCCACATCAGATGATGACCCAACCTTTATTCTGACTTTTGCTGTTGATGGATGGTGTGGATTTGTGTTGCACTAAAAGTCCAAGTTTTACTGATTGACCTCACTACTCAGGTAAAAGTAATCCTCACTCAAAAACATCATTAATAAAGAGAAGAGTGTCTTATGCAACTTGTGTTGCTGCTCATTCAAAAATCTCAAGCTATTAATTAACAAAACTTGAATTTATTGATTAATTTTCTGATGGTATCGTGCATGATGAGTGCTTGTTTGAGGTGCTTGTTGTTGAATAGTTCAGCAACTATTAGATCCACTTAGGAGAATAATTTTGATTGTTTCATCTTTTCCATTCATTCATCTACAAAACATTGTGTAGAGAGGAAAAAACACTGTATAAGGAGACTTTTTCCATGGCCCTTGTATGTATGTTTAAGATGTATATTAAATTTATTATAATTTCTATTAATTTTCGTTTTTATTATTATTATTATTATTTTTTTTAATTCCATATATTAATTATAAGTATTTTGGATTGTCAGGCCAATGAGTGAAAGTTTGGGTAGAAAACCAAAGTGGTATGAGGATTTACAACAGTAAATATTTTATAATGCTTTTTAATAATAATAACTACAAAAATTAATATTTTAAATAATTAAAATATTAATACATATTTCTTTATTTTATAAAGGAAACCACCATTATTAAATTCAAGAACCAATTCTGTTGAAAAACCTACTTGGTTGTCTTCTAAAACAGGTTAGCTGCTTTTTTATAAGTTTACTTATTTGAACATATTTTGCCATTGAAACTTAATTTTAATAATAGAGAAATTTCAGTTTTACACAATTTTATAGAATAAAAACATTCAAATTTTATTTTATTTTTTTAATTTTCCATCTTTATGTGCTAAATTATGTGCTATATGTAAAAATGTAAAAATTTTATATATATGTTATGTAAAAGTTTCTCATCTTTATTTGCTATATTATCAGTAGAACATGACTCAAGAATAAAAATAGCAAATTTTTTTATGTTTTCTTAATATAATACTGTAATAATAATAAATTATTGATTTTCCTAACAAAATTATTTTTTGTCTGTTAACCTGCTTTTATTAATATGGACATTTAAATTTAATTTTTTTAAAATTAAATTTAGAACTACACAAATTCTATAAATAGTTTTCTTTTATAAAAATTAAACTTTAATCTTTTGTGACTGTGACATTGGTACTAGCACCCATGATTTCAAGTGCAAAGGAACCTTCCATTTGATAATCACACAAGCAGTTGCTTATTAGGGAATGAATGGGTCCAGGATAGAGGAAAATGCAGTTGTAAACATTCTCTCAACAATAGGCATGCATAAAGGCTTAGGCTCTCCCTCTGTTTATATTTTTCTTTATGAATTTATATTTAGTTGAAGAATAAATATTTGTTGTTTTATGGTTAAATGCATAGTGGAGTGCATTATTTCTGGTGCACTGTTTCTCAACTCCTTCCTCTGCCCAGACCTTTGTATTCCCTCATATGCTTGTACGATAATTATTTGGAAGGTTCTTGTGTGCCTAAAGTCACAGGTGGTGTCAGTCCTAACTTGGACATTGCTGATGTTCCCGTTGCAATGATGGTCACACTGTCCATCAAACCTTGTCAGAAGAGCTATGTTATTTGCATAATTTAAATGAGAAATAAACATGGAATTCCTTTTACATTTATTCTATTTTCACCGTATTTTCACAAAATGACCAGCATGCTGCATAAAAATAGAGGAGACCAGCATTCTGGTTAAACTGAGACTAAAATATAAAATTAATCAGATGTAACAAAACTAGTTAATTAAATATTAAAACATTCTTTTGAGTACAATAAAATAACAACATTGTAATTTGACTGACATAAATAAAAACTTTATTCCTGATTTTAAAAGACATAATAGTAGTAGGTTGGTCAGTCAGTGTGGGCAACATTGACCATCTACTCTGACCTTAAAAATAATACCTTGCTCTCAAATTTCACACAAAGCAGATGTTAATTGGTATAAGCTTAGATAATACACATTGAGTTTCTTAAATTTATTATGTTTATTTTTACAATTTTGAATCAAATAATAAAATACACATAAAACAAATACTTTTGGAATTCCATGAGTATTTTATGTTGTTAGAAAGAACACAAAATGAAGAAATTAGTTATTTTCTGTTAGTGGGACACCAGTTGTAACTTTAATCCAATGTACAATACCATTGCCTGCTCAGACTTGCATTTGACTATTTAGCCCATGTGACTGTGCCAGCTTTGAGTAGCTCACTTGACTGTTTGCAGAGTACTTGATGTTATATAATTTTAGGGGGTGCAGAGGCTTTCTCCACCTGGGCACTGAAGTGCAAGCAACAGCAGGCACTGAAGTGCATGACTATATGCAAAGCATGTAGAATAAGCATTATACTGATACATGTTAAAAATTGATCTCTGGAGGCAAATATCTTGTGAAACATCTACAATTCTGAGGGTGGTGTGAAACCCCTCATTCAAAGCTTGAATCTTACCATATTAGCTGGCATCCAGTTAACAGAAAAATACCAAGAAATTAAACACATAATCATAGTTTTTGATATAATGTTGACAGTTTCACAGATTTAGAATAAAAAGTTGTTTGTTTTTTTAATGCGCCCTTTAGAGAGGGATGTATAACACTACTAAAACTGGAATGCTGGCATTCCCTGGGATAAACTGGCATGCCAGCTTTTACATACAGAAACATCTGGTTTCTTGGTTTCCCTTGGCTAGACCAGTATGCTGGTCATTCCATGAAAATATGGTATGTTATTTCCAAGTTACACTAATACTGATGGTTGTTATTTTTTTAAGTTTCAAATTTGATTTATCTTTATAAATTTCAGTTTTAAAGTATCAAGAATTTTGTATGAATTTTATTAAACTTTATTAGTCCTGATTTCATAGAAAATATGCCTACACAATTATTTGAATAAATAAATAAAAATAAAAAACTAATACTTATGATATTGCAGAAAGATAATAGGAGATAAAATAAAAATAACTGATAAAAATTATATGATTAACAATCATATAATTTTTATATGATTAACAATCATATAATTTTTATCAGTTATTGAGTTTTATAAGCAAGTTTTGCAGCAAAAATTAGATCAGGAGTGTCCAACCTTTTTGTTTCTCTGGGCCACACAGGAAGATGTCATGGAGTTTTGGCCACAAGTATATTATATACTTGTGGCCAAAACTCCATGACATCTTCCTATAGTGTTTTGTCACTTTTTATTAATTAGAGACCCAAATAAAACAAAATATTTGTGTTTTTCAAATATATTTTTTTTGTCTCCTTTATAATAAATGAATTTATCTATTTCTGAGTAAAAATTGAAAGTTTCTGTAAAAGTAATTTTTTGTAATAATTTAAGTAATAATTTAATTGGTCCACAAGTATATTTGAAAAATACAATTATTTGTTTTATTTGAGTCTCTAATTAATAAAAAGTGACAAAACACCATTTTAAAGTGCATTTTTATTCAACTAATATATTTATAAATAATTTGTAGCCCAAAAAGTAGCCAATGCGCCAAATGATATTTTTTACGCCAAATTAAAAAATGGCAGACAACTTTGGCACAAAGTAGCCAAATCATGCAGTGCTGGAAGGAATACTAAATAAAGCTGGAGTTAGGACTCAAAGGATAATAGACTCAAATTCGGGGAAAGGAGAGGAAGGATATAAGATAAAAAAGTAAGGAAGGTTGGAAAATTATGGATCCATATTTGCATAACAGAAAACTACTTTTTCACTACTTTTTATCTTTTGGCCTTCCTCTCCTTTTCCCAAATTTGGGTCTATAATTCTTTGAGTCTCAACTTTAGCTTTATTTAGTATTCCTTTCTCATTCACACATTTCCAAGTACAGGTAACCCCCATATAACACGGCACTTCTATAGCATGGATTCACTCTAACACGGTTCGAGAATTGGGAACATCCCCCCATATAACACGGTGCTTTTATAGCACGGGTTCACTCTAACACGGTTCGGGAATTGGGTAAAACCCTCGTACAACATAAAATGTAATAAAGGGTGCATTCTTTTATACCTCTGCGTAACTCCGTGTGAGCATTCTAATTGTTTTCGTGGCTACTTTGAATGCTCTTTCAACAAATAATCCATTTAATGGTTAAATTATACAATTGGGACCCTTCTTTTTCCACTAAAAGCTCATTTAAGAATTATAGATTCCTCCACGCGATACTATCAATAGTGCGGGCGCTGCCATCTTTCTTTCACTGTTGTTCCTAAATGCCTACAAACAGCAGCGCACTTCCATTGCAAAGTGACCGCTATTAACGAACGCACCCAAAAACTGTTACAAGTTGATGATGCTCATGCTGAGATCATCATATAAAATGAATAATCCTCTGATAAAATATTTACTTAAATAATAAATATGTATTTTACCTATGAAAAAAATTAATAATAAAAATTTTTAATTTTGAGTAAACTTTATGGAATTATATGTGATGATATAAAATTGAGTCATCAGCACTTACTGAAGAAAAACCATTATATTTAAATATGTCCTAGGAAAGTAAGAAATCAAGCAATAAAATATAATCTTAAAAATGTTTCGTACACTTCCAGGTAGTGAAAAATAACCATATTTACTGAAAACTTCCATCATCTGAATGATGCAAAATTGTGTCAATTGGCAGCAAGTGTTAAAAATATGCTTATTGCATTTTAGTATATATTTGATATATGACAAATAANTAAAATATTTACTTAAATAATAAATATGTATTTTACCTATGAAAAAAATTAATAATAAATCCGATTTAAAAAAGGATTTAACAGCATGTTTTTTAATTTTTGGAACCTAACTTTTTGCATTAGTTCTTTGTTTAATATAACACAGATTCGCATAACACGGCAATTTTTTGGCTTGTAACTCCTGTGTTATACGGGGGTTACCTGTATTTCAAAATATTTTCTTTCCACTCAAAAATAAAATATATATAAAGGTTTATGGCTTTGTGAAACTTCTTTTTTTTAGTTTATGCCATTGAAATAAATGAAATTAAATTAAAAAGTTTGTAGGATTTTTTTTACACGTTTATTGGGCCGCATTGGAACTTGCCTTGGACACCCCTGAATTAGATGATTCAGAATATTGTTTTGATTCACTATGGAATTATTCTTTATTTTCTATTGTTTTATTTTTAACACACACACATTCACACAAGCTCACACACTTAACAGAGCAGCAATTGTAAAGGTGATGGAAGACAGAGTATGAGAATTACTCCAAAATTCTTGGTTGGAGAGATTCACCAAAATACTAGCTCAGAGAAGACTTTTCAAAACTTGACGTCTTCAATTTTCTGATACATTTTCTTAATTCTTTTATTATTTTAATGAAAATAATTAATAACTGACATAAAGATGGGGATAATTAAGACTGCAATAATTTTGATTGGAATTTCAAAATGCCATCAAAACCTTATACGAGAGTTGTATTTCTCATTGATTTCTTATCTTACTCTTCTCTTACTAAACTAATTACATTTTATTCCTTTTTAAGAATATGATTATCAATATTTAATTAAACATTTCATAAATTACTTTTAGATAATATAACTTTATAACTGATATCATCTCAATTTTTGCCTAACATGACATTGTTTATTCTCATTAACTGAATTTTAATCAACAGTCATGAATATTAAGATCTGTCAACTTGTGGTGGAGGAATATATCTTATATTAGAGTAATTTTGCTCTTTATTCTGCAAGATTTTAAAAAATAATATCAAAAAACAGTATATCATTATTTTCACATTCTTAACAAGTATAAATAAAATTTGATTCCAAGTTTTATATAGAATGATATATTGCATTGCATCTTAAATCATTTGAATATTGTTATACATATTTTTTAATTAATATGATTATCTTAAAAAATAACTTATTATTTTTTGTTTGTAGTTGAAATTAATTTAGTCATAAATACATTTTCAGATCATAAATATGATAAAAATTATTTCAGTTCTATAAATACAATTAATACTTTTGCTGCCGTCATTGAAGAAAGTTGTACTGAATATGCTAATTCATTTTTTCAAAAAGTATGCTAGTTATACACAAATTAATAATAAAAATTTTTAATTTTGAGTAAACTTTATGGAATTATATGTGATGATATAAAATTGAGTCATCAGCACTTACTGAAGAAAAACCATTATATTTAAATATGTCCTAGGAAAGTAAGAAATCAAGCAATAAAATATAATCTTAAAAATGTTTCGTACACTTCCAGGTAGTGAAAAATAACCATATTTACTGAAAACTTCCATCATCTGAATGATGCAAAATTGTGTCAATTGGCAGCAAGTGTTAAAAATATGCTTATTGCATTTTAGTATATATTTGATATATGACAAATAATTATAATGGTATATTACAATATGTTACAAATGAATGTTTTATATCATTTCTTTATATGATATTTGAAATCAGAGTGTATCAAATTTCCTTTAAAAATAAAAAGACGTAGTCGTTTCCACAAACTTGGGTGATCATCATTTATTTCTTTTAAATGTTCCATAGTAAAAATTTCAGATGACCTGACCTTTCTTTTTAGGCTACACAGCCGTCCTGGAAAAAATTCCTTAAAACACGGAAATAAATCAATTAAAAAGTAATAATTTTTCTTAAAATTGAAATTGATGACCTTACGACGTTTTGCTTTATTCATCCTTCTCCATTCAGGACAGCCATGTAGCCTAAAAAGAAAGGTCAGGTCGTCTGAAATTTTTACTATGGAGCATTTAAAAGCAATAAATGACAATCACCCAAGTTTTTGGAAACGACTACATCTTTTTATTTTTAAAGAAAATTTTATCATTCAGCGAAATTTTAAAATTAAAGTGTATCAAATTGTTAACATAGTAATATTTTTATCAGTTAAAATTAAATTCGTAAAATACAAACTTTTGTATTTTATTTTTAATCAGAACTTCAAGATAATTACAGTGAAACAAGAAGCCATAGTCAAACTAGCAGAAGAAATAGTTTTGAAACAGTTGATTTTCTTGATTTCTCAATAAACAAACCAGAATCACCGTAAGAAATTTGAAAATATTTCCATATTTTCCATTAAATAAAAAACATAAATTAGATTCTTGAATTTAACATTTAAAATTTTTTATTACTTTTAGAAATGATTCATTATTTGATGATAATGTGAAAACTCCAAGAGAATTGTCTGCTCGATTTGGAAGAAGAGCTCCAAAACCTGATCATGCAGATTCAGGTTAGTTGTTTATTTGACATAATTTTATTTATTAAATATAGGAAGTATATAATTTACAATAATATTTTCTGTAAACTTCTAGCTAGTATAATGAAAGTAATTGGATAATAATTATGTGACCTAATGAAATTAGGGGGAAAATTTTTTTCCAAATTTTTTTTCCATCTTTTGAAAGTTTGTTAACTTACAACCAGGGAATGATCACCTTTTCTCCCCCCAAGGACTCATAGAATGTGTCATGGGGAAGTAAACAAAAAAATTCGCAATTGGCAAAAAAAGTAATGTGATTGGGGAAATAAATAGATTGAACACCGGGACAAAGGGGGAGTCAAAGGCCTGAGAAAAGAGTTTTCCTGAGAGTGTGGTTGCCAGGACAAGTCTGGACGCATTTCCTACAACCCTCAGACAGCTCCAGACGAATCTCTTTAACCCAAACTACATCATATACAAGCAACTGTAGAGGTATGATAAGGAATATTGTAAACTCTCTCTAGGCATGCACACACCCACATCTGCATGTAAGGTTGATAGAATCTCAATGTTAGTTAGGTTATCTGAGTTGTTGTCTAACAAAATTTTGTTTTATGGTGTCTTTTACTCATGTATCACTGATGCTTTATCGACGACCCCTCTCTCTCTCTCCACTCGACCTGACAAAAAGAATCCTGACCCTTTGGGTTAGTAAGAATAGACAAGCCATCCACTGACAAGTGGGCAGTTTTCACCAAACTGTTGCCGACAAAAAGAGGTATGACTGCGGTATACCTCATAGGCTACCCACAATTATTTTATTTGTGCTTCTAACAAATATTTTACTTCTTTTTCAAAATTTATAAAATTTAAAATTTCAGTATGTAAATGTGAATGTAAATCTTAATTTTTATTATTTTCTAAATTAGTATATTTAATTTATATTTTATCATTAAAAAACAACTTAATTGTTATATATGATTATTTTCAAATATTAAATTTAGGTTACAAAAGTGAGAGAGAAAGACCTCAGAGCAGAGTCAGCATTAATGATAATTCACAATTAGAAGATTATTGGATGTCACTACATGTATTTGAACATTCACATAAGGGCAGACTTAGTATGTCTGTGGATGCAGAAGGTAATTTTTAAAATGATATAATGACTATTACAAATTTAATTTAAGAGTACAAATTATTATTTGCCATATTGTTTTAGTATAGCTAAAAATGAATCTTGAGATTATTATTTTTAGAAAATAAAGATAGATTTTTCTGTTATAGTTTTTTGTACTACTACAGTAGTACAAAAAACTATAACAGAAAAATCTATCATCTGTCATTGTTTTCAATGTGAATAAAAATGATCTAATTAATAAATTCAAAATAATGTTGAAAAAGGAGGATTATACTTTGGAATGCTTGAGAGTTTGACTTAGTAAAAGGCAAATGATTTGGAATAAAGTAGCAAAGTTAATTATTATATGTCAGAAACAGCTAACAAAGTGCATAATTTCTTATTATTTTCTACTATTACATGTTAGTAATGAGAAACAAACTCTTACATATTTAAATACGAAGTGATGATTCCAGTTTTAACAATTTTGTGAATAGAAAAATGAAAATCCATACACTTAACAAATGAGGATCAGACCTGAATAACAACAGTTCCATAGGATGATGATTTTACTCCACTTACTGCTATTTGGAATACAGTCATACCTTGGGTTTTGAACATCTTGGTTTTCAAGCAAATTGTTCAAAGACCAAATCCTTGAACAATTTTGAACTTGTATTTGCCCTGGTTGCCATATGATAACTCAGTTGTGGCTCAGAAGATTAGAGAGACAAGTGGTCAATTCCCTATACTTCCTACGTATGTTAAAGAAAGTTGATGGCCTTATCAACCAATGACAGGACTACTGATTCAGAAGTTAGTGTTGCCAAGATTGCTTACATCATTAGACATCATGAGACGAATCATTGACAATGTTGCTATTTAAATTAGATATTAATGTACATATGGGAAATATACTATTTCTGTTTTTTGGTACATACTGCACTTGAATCTGAATCAAATTAATTAATAAAAATCATGTAAATTGACATTCACTAGTGTAAATGGCATCTGAGAATTTATGTTTAAGTTGTCATGGCTTAAGTTAAATAACAAAAATTTATCACTATTATAATATATATTATAATATTGATATTTAATATTTATTAATACTAGGTAGTAAATTAATTAAAACTAAAAATAATAAAATAATAATTAAGACACTTGCCTTTACACTGAAATTAAAAATAAAATCAAAATTAATTAATTTTAAATTTAAATTGAAATCAAATCAGTTGAAACATAATATTTCAGAAAGTATGGATAAGGTACTTGTTGTCAATTTTGATTGATTTGGTTATACTTCATCCAAGTAGTTAAGAGTTGAGTCTCTATTTATAGCACTTCTTTGTAAAGTGTTGGTTTTAGTTGGCAGTGATGGAACATTTTGCTTTTAATTATACACATACATATATATTAAAAGCAAAATGTTTCATCACTGTCAATATATAATATATTGTAATTGTAGGCATTTTTATATGTGAAATATAACTAAAAAGATTTTTTAAAAAAAAGCTTTGTTTTTGGGGTTTGGAATGGATTAATCTATTTTATATTGTTTCTTATGGAAAAATTGGTTTTCAAACAATTTTTAGGAACAAATTAAGTTCAAAAACAGAGGTTTGACTGTACTTTTTTTGCAAAATAAGCTGTGTTCCTACTTAAAGAGCAGGGGTTGGACTTTAATGTTATTCCTTTCTATATAGATATATGTTATATATAAAATATTCCAATAGGAAATGCAGTTTGTTTCCTATTGTGACAAGTTTTGGCCACCACTGTTTTAGTGTTACACCTGGACAGTCCAGGAATTGACTCACTGTCCGGGTGAACTATTAATCTTGTCTGGGAATTTCGTAGAAATTGTGAAATTACGATGAAACAAAAGTTCTTGCAAATATTTTTACAAATTTACACTATTTTAACAGCGAAAGAACTTCCACTCACTAAAACTCATCTGCAATTCTACGAGCTAAGTTATCTGTACCTGTTCTTTCTTAATTTAGGTTACTTACGTTACTCCTACTCAAGTCCCTAGTCCCTAACTGTAACTGATTTAGTAAATGTACTGTAAATTGAATAATTATATCAAGATGTATGAAATAAAACATTATTTAATATTATACTGTTGCAAGTTATTTTATATTGTTACAAATAACTCTTTATAAAAATTTTCTCTCATATAAATCAAAAATTATATGTATATGTATTGAAACTTTGAAATAAACATTACTTATTAGTCATAATTTTTTTAAAGTTTTATCTTAGTACAAATTACTATATAAATTACTGTCTTGGACAAAGGGGGAGTCAAAGGCCTGAGAAAAGAGTTTTCCTGAGAGTGTGGTTGCCAGGACAAGTCTGGACGCATTTCCTACAACCCTCAGACAGCTCCAGACGAATCTCTTTAACCCAAACTACATCATATACAAGCAACTGTAGAGGTATGATAAGGAATATTGTAAACTCTCTCTAGGCATGCACACACCCACATCTGCATGTAAGGTTGATAGAATCTCAATGTTAGTTAGGTTATCTGAGTTGTTGTCTAACAAAATTTTGTTTTATGGTGTCTTTTACTCATGTATCACTGATGCTTTATCGACGACCCCTCTCTCTCTCTCCACTCGACCTGACAAAAAGAATCCTGACCCTTTGGGTTAGTAAGAATAGACAAGCCATCCACTGACAAGTGGGCAGTTTTCACCAAACTGTTGCCGACAAAAAGAGGTATGACTGCGGTATACCTCATNTTATTTTTTTATTAATAATCCTGTCTAAAAATTTTTTAAATACAATAAAACTACAAGAATGTTTTTATTAAAGAATAATATTGATGTAAAATGTAAAATGTAAATTGATCAACTAATTACTAAAACCTATATTAGGGGAAAAAATGCAGCAAAATAGATACCTCTCTAAAGTAGACAACTCTATAATGGGCTGTTTTTGTGGTGTGAATGAAAAATTTTAAGATTATTTTGTGAAATTCAATAAAGTTGAAATTTCTTATTATAGATGAAGTGTGAAAATTTAATTTGCATACTTATTGAAATTGAGATTTAATAATCATCTAATCCATACATCTAATAATAATTTAATAATTATTATATATTTACTTTAGATATATAGTATTATTTATTAAAGTTACTGTTTTACATATTTTTTTCAGTTTGGATTTTATCATTCCTGAATTACCCGAAGGTCAGAATCTTACTCTGAATATTTTAACAACATGGGGTGATAAACATTATGTTGGTTTGAATGGCATTGAAATCTTCTGTGATAATGGTCATTTAGTAGAGGTTGAAAAGGTATGAGTTTGAAATAAATAATAAATAGAACTACTTTATAGTACTATGTTGTCTCTATTAAAAGCTATTCCTAGCTTTTTCTATTTCTTTGGTTAAAACTATTCTAATGGAAACCTCTGCCCCATTATGGTACTGTATTTTTGTTATTGAGAAGTTGGATCAGTCAACTGAGTTTTTTAATAATGATAACTACATTTTCCCTAATCATTTCTACAAATTTCTGCACTAGTTTAAATGTATATTGTAAAAATGTTTATAGTTATAGCAACAGTGAGGCAGTATTTAATTTGCAATACTTTTTATGTAAAAAAACAGAATTACAATCCAGTGTTTTTGTATGGAGTATTTCCTTAAAACTGGAAAAAGTTTATATACAGTAGTACCTCACTATTCAAATTTAATTCATTCTAGGAGTCTGTTTGAATTCTGAATCATTCAAACTCCAAAGCAGTTTTTCCTATTAAATGGAAAGCAAATTAATCCATTCTCTGATCCTAACTGATACCCATTTCAATAAACTTAAAATGGCAAATTATATATATTTGCCATTTTTAATTTTTACCATAAGTTATAACTTAATATAAAAATAACACAATTAAAGGCCCTAATAATAAATTAAAACATGAAAACAATAAGTAAAATATGTAAATAATGTATAATAAAATGAAAATTGCATTTACTGGTCACACACTGTCGACTTTGTCATCTTAAACATGGCCACCAGATCTGCCACACATGTATTGTTTTCATGCTTCACAATAAGTTTCTTTTCATCTTATCACACAAAAATTTTCTGCTCAACTCAATGTAACCTTTTTCTAGCCTTTCTCTTAATTGCTTCCACACAATTCTCAGATACTATGACTAATAAGAAAAGGTTGGGAAGATTAATAAGAAAAAGGAAAAATTAATAAGTGCAATTAAAAAAGTTATTAATCCTGTAGCATAAATATTTATTTAATTCTTTGTGATTTCCTGTCCATGTGCAGGAAATCACAAAGAATTAAATGACAGTATGTAAATTGGTGATGGTAAAAAAGTTCATATGCAGCATTGCTACAAACTTTGTACGCATTTAAAAGCCATATAGATGTGCTTTTGGTGTAATAAGGGTTAGTTCTTTACTTTTTTAAGGATGTCGAACAAACATTTGGAGCTATTCCGGCAAGGAAAGCATCAATGTGAAATTGTTCATTTGCTCGGTGTTCCCATAATGACAGTCTTGGATGCAGTTCAGCAATTCAAGGAGCTTGGCCATGATGGTGACCATCTCGGTCGTGGAAGAAAGCTCACCATCAACATGTCTAGGAACCACAAGATTATCAAAAAGCGAGTTGGCTGACATGCGAAGATCTCCATGAAAAAAATTGCTCGTGAGATTGGAATCAATTGTGAATCGGCGCAGTTAATGGCAAAAAAGGAACTCGGACTCAAGCCTTACAAGTTCCAAAAGGTTCAGCTTCTCACCGATGAAAACAAGTACATGTGACTCCAAAGATGCCGTCAATTCAAGCGTCGTGCCGCAGGTCAACAATGGGAGCACATTCTCTTCACAGACAAGAAGCTTTTCTCCGTACAACAGGCGCACAACCATCAAAATGACAGGAACTGGTCCAAGGGGGCTCCCTGATGCTCAGCCGTCATTGAACATCACCAAAATCCAATGTTTGGGCCGGAATTTGTGCAAGCAGCAAGACAACCCTTGTTTTCATCAATCAAGGGGCCAAAATCAATCTAGATGTGTAGCGCCATGACATTCTTGAAGCTGTAGTACTTCCATGGGCTCAGCAGCATTTTGGACATTTCAGCAGAACTCAGCGCCAGCACACAGGACAAAGAAGAAGACTCAGGAGTGGTGCAAGGCTCATTTTCCTGATTTCATCTCATCTGTGGAATGGCCACCATACTCACCAGATCTGAACCCGATGGACTACAGTGTGTGGTCCATTTTGGAGGCTAAGGCCTGTGCTAAGCACCACAAAACTTTGGAGTTGCTGAAGCAATCCTTGTGCCGGGAGTGGGACAAACTGTCTCCAGAAGAGCTGCGGCCCATCACTGAAAATTTAGAAACATGTTTGGGGCTGTGCATCAACGCAAAAGGAGGCCACTTTGAAACCGGCTGAATTTCTGATTAATACATAAAATATTGTCACTGCTATCTGCTGTTGTTTTGCTAATTTTTATTTCTTTAATAAATTTATGATACAAAAAACTTGTACAGGTTAATTATTGTCACCCTGTATATATATATATATATATTTTTAAATGTATTTATTAGACATTTACAGTTAATGATATTATTTAAAATGAATATTTTATTTCCAATAGCTCTGGGCAGATCCAGCCGACATTAATATTCTACCAGAATATTCTTGCGATCCACGCATTATTACAAATTTAATAGATGGAGTATACCGAACTCATGATGATATGCATTTATGGCTTGCACCTTTTACAATGAACAGCAACCATTATATTTATATGACATTCAAACAACCTGTTAAAATAGCTATGATTAGGATATGGGTTAGTATGCAAACTATATAAAATCATGTAAAATGTAACTTTTTATTTTACTGATTTATTGTACATTTTCTTTTATTAAGTTGAAAATATAAAAAAAATTTAAAGTGCATTTTATGTAAAAAAAAAAAAAATTAAAACTTACATGATAATGATAAACATTATTTCATGTTGCATGTGAAAACCAATGACAACAAATCTTTCAACAAATATTTTTATTTTGTTATAGAATTACAATAAATCAAGAATTCATTCATATAGAGGTGCAAGACATATGGAAATGATTTTAGATGGTCAACCAATTTTTAAAGGTGAAATAGCTCGTGCTTGTGGAGGAATACAAGGAAGTACAGAAGCTTTTGGTGATGTATGTTTAGAATTTGTTTTGTTTTGAAATAGTTGTTGCTGTTTTATTAATTCAAAGATTTTAATAAATTTTTGTTAATAAAGCTTGTAATGGCAGAAAAATCTAGTTTCATTTATCTATTTTTATCTTTAGTATGCAACAATATATAAAAATTAAACAAAATTATATGGATTTTAGAAGCATTTATAAAGACAAAAATAAATGAATATTTGTAATAAAGTAATTTATCATTATTATATTAAATGAAAAAGTTATACGCTATGAAATATATTGAATAAATATGATATTTTATGGAATACAGTGGAACCTCTCTTAACGAGCATAATTCATTCCAGAATCTTACTTGTAATGCAAAACACTTGTTAAGCAAAACAATTTCTCTCATGTAAATGAATGTAAAATATGATAATGCATTCCATGCCAACTTTTAATTAAAATGTAACATATTTTATCAGTGATTTGTTCCAAATTTTCAACATTAATTAAACATTTGTTAAATATTACAACAGAAGTATATTTTATATGTATTTTGATAATTAAAGAGTAGATTCTGGTAAAAATTTTATTTTTTTCTTAAATTATCTGTATTAAACACAGAGGGAAAAATACTTCTAGATTTTGTTCATAATAACCAATTAATAATTCTGAATGGTTGGATGAGAGGAGATACCCCTGCAGAAATTACCTTTGTTTCCCCAAACGGGGAATCAATAGCAGACTATGTTATTTGTTCAGAAGAAATGATAAAGTGCTGTAACTCTATGAATGTTCTGGGGGATGATAGGGCAGATCATTTTCCTATTCAGTTGGAATTAATAAAATATCAAAAAATAAGAAATAAGTTATATAATTGTGAACAAAGTCACCTTATTAATCTGGAATTAAGACCATCCTATAATAAATGAAAATTGTTAAAAGAGTTTGATCAAATGATCGGGGAGATGTTAATATTGGAAAAAGAAAATGATCCAATAGAAAATTATTTGAGTATTACAACTAAATTAGAGGAATACAGGTACAAGAATTGTATACAACAGAATGAAAAAATATTCAAATGCGAATGGTATAACAATACATGTTATAGTTACAAAATTAAAAAACAAAAGAGTTTTCAAGTCTTCAGATGAACAAATACCAGCAAAGCACTAATGAATTATCTAAGATATAAGAAAATGTATAATAATTTAATTAAAGCCAAAAAGAAATTATATTTTTCAAATATCAGTAAGAAATTATCAGAAGCGAAAGACTCAAGAGTTTTCTGGAGAATAATTAACAGTTTTTGTAAAAGAAAGTCAGGTCTGGACATACAGGCTGGAGTAGGATATAATGATTAGCTTAAATACTACAATAAATTCTCAGAAAACTACCGTAAAAATTTTTGTCAAAAATATATGGGAACTAAGATAAGACCAGAAATTCATCGAGACGAGATAATTAAGACGGAAGAACTTCAAGATTGTATTAAGAAACTTAAAGATAAATCAACACCGGGACCAGACACAATACCTAATTCACTCATTAAAATGCTGCCACTAGAAATCATTCGATATTTAACCAGACAATTCAATCAATTCTACAGTTTACGCCAAATAAAGATTATTATTACTATAAATTATCTGTATTCAATTTGATTTAAATCCAAATATACAAGTGTGGTCCATTTATAATGTTATCATGGAAGATGGCACAAATCAGTTTCATTGCAGATGGAGCTAAATCAATGAAAATGACAGTGATAATTTCAACTTCATTTTAAATGGAAACCCCAATTTTTTATTGCATATTCTAATTCTACATAAAAAACTAATAAAGTTGTATCTAAAACATTTTTACTTTTCTAGCCATTATATATAACAGAGTATGGTGATTAATATATGAAGATCAATCAAAAAATTACCTGAAGATTTTTACATTTTTTGATTTGGGATCTTGAAACATCAAGAAATGCAAAAAAATTTGGGTGTTTTTTCCAATCAGTGGATCAGGGAGTGATAAAGAATGTAAAAATGTTTACAGACATGACCTCATATGGAAAATGACTAATTTTGACAGGAGAATTCTGGACTTTCAGAAAAAATAATCTCGAAGACACTATCTACACTGTCAGTTATGCTTGGGATTCTATGAGAAGTGAAATACAGTAGAGCCTCGATTATCCGACCCCTAATTAACCGACCGTCCTAGTTGGCAAATTCAAATGTCCGCTAGTGATGTGGCGCTACAATATTTGGCTATGTCTTGGCTACTTTAATATTATTTTTACGTTTTTTAGCTGGCAACACTCATTCGACCATGAAAGGGAGCCAGTATTTAAACGAGGCTGAACTCTATAAGTTTTAACGATACAATAGCGACGATTATTATTTTAAAAAATTTTTGTTAGGTTTAACATCGATGAAAATTCAACGCGAAGTAGGTTAATGGCGATGTACTAATATACTAATTACATGGGATATAATAATATACTACACTAACAATGGATTTTTTCATACTTTTCGGTTACCTGACTTTTCAATTATCCGACCAACCCCAGTCCCCAATTGAGTCGGATAATCGAGGCTCTACTGTATTACAGAAATTAGAGAAAGTTGTTTTGTCTATGGAATCCTTCTCCTCTGTCAACTTTGAGGGATTTCCAATCAATAGTACAGCTGCCAGTAGCAAAGCATGGAATCAGTTGACTCTGCTAATGACAAAATGAATTTGTCTTGAGATGAACTCAACAACTGGCTTGCTGTGGATGAAGCTATTCCAGTAACTCAAAGTAAATACAGAAGAATTCAGAAGCTGTTGTGATTTATGGAAAAATCAATGTTGCAGAGAAGAGAGTAGTGCTGATGGGTGTGATATGGAAAAAATATTTTAGTAGACAGCTTCTGCAGCATTTTGAAATTGTAATATCTTTTGCAAAACAGCAACCCTTCTTCACTTCTCAGCATGTTATGCAGCATGCAATACTATTTAAATACTAGTTTTCATTTTTCAACTTTATTTTAAATTATGACAATCAAATTTACCATTAAAATAAAACTTTTTTGTCAAATTTTTATCCACTTTATTAATTAATATTTAAATAAATTTATTAATGAATAATAAATTAAAAACTACCACTTTCTTCTTTTTGAACCTGTATAGTTTTAGCTGATGGATTAATAACAGGAGAAATTACTTTTATTTAATAAAACATCTTATTTTAAATTTTAACAGTTCAAATGAAAAGTTTCAGTTATCTTTGAATCCATTTTAACATGTAATTATCAATCTTTATCAAACATTTTATACTGAATACAGTATAGTTTTCAAAAATACTTCATAAATTTTACTGAAACTATATTTTTTACATTTGAGTTTATAATTTATAATAAAAAGATATTAAAATATTTTAAATGATTTTTAGACTATCCTATTTACAACAGATGAAGAAATATTGGAAGCAATTTCTCATCATGATAATGCTTTCAATGATGATAATGACATAACCACACCTATTAATTTGATTGTAGAACGTCCTTGCACATCGGATCCTGATTGCAGTGTTTGTATTTAAAATATATTATTCATATTTTAATTATGAAATTTTTGATTAATTGATTTACATATTTATAGAGTGAGAGACCATTTACAGCAGCTAGTCCTAGTTATCCTGTGGAATCAAAAAAATCTGTTGATTCCTTACCTTATCAGGAGATTGAAAAAAATGCATATTCTTGTACTTGTAAGTGTAGTTTATATTGATATGTAATGAAATTGTAGGAGGACTAATTAGTAATAGATTTTTTTTTAACATAATAGCATAATTTAATTGAAATTTTTTTTCATAAATTTGAAAAATTAATTTCTCAACTATAAAAGTGTTTAAAATTAAGTATTGTTTTAAAATAAAAATAATAGATTTGACAAACGTTTTACAGACATGCCTTGCTAATATGATAGATTAGGTTCCAGACCACTGCCATAAAGCAAAATACAGATTTTTTTTCACATGCCAGTGTAAATTGTGGCTTGGTTCACTAATGGTGGCTGTCAGAAAAGTATAATTATTAGCATACTAACAATTGAGCATCCTACCTTTGATAATAAATTAAAATTGTAATGGTTACAATTTGGACATCCACCTTTAGAGCATTGGAATATTAAAGTAGTTCAAAACGGGTGGTACTCTTGAGGAATGAATTGTAGACCCACCCCATCTGCAACCTGGTGTGACCTATTTACACACTGCTTCTATGTAAAGTGTAGGTTTCAGTTTTGGTGGGAATGGAACGTTTTGCTTTTAATATATATAGAGACTACTTATGAATTAACAGTGAAATAAGGTGGGAATTTGCATTAAAATTTTTTTTATCCACTCAACTCTGCTCCCCCAAGATTAAATCCTGAGTGTACCAATGATAAAACATTATACTAAGTGAAAACAAATGTATTGTTACCAAATTTAAGATATCAGTTTTGGACAAAGTACATAAGAAACTAATGTATATTATACAAACTTTTATTATATGCTATTCTTAGTCTTACTGTCTAGATAGAACCTTGTAACTCAATTTTCATCCACCTTTCAATTAAATATTAATCTAAAGAAGTATTTCAACAATTTAGTGTTCCATACATAAAATTAAAAAGTAGAAAGTAAAAATGATAAAAAAAAGTTTTAAAGAAATGTTTATTCACATAAATGCACTAAAAGGTAAATATAACTTAATTTTTTTCTTGTTCTCTCTTTTGTTTTTTTTTTTTTTGGAGTGAAAAATAAAGTTTATATTATTCATCAAAAAATGTTCCTTTGTGATAAGTTCTACATAGCAATTCTGTGACATACTTCCAAAGAACAAAAGGTAAAAATAATTTTTTTTTTTCAGCTTTCACAGTATTCTTGGTATTATGGAACTAAAAAGAAAAGCATGAGGCACTAATAGGAAGCTCATAAAAATTGATAGAAGGTGTAACTAAGAATATTTCTAAACACGAGTGACCACACTTTTATTTTGGTTGCATAATACCAATACTATGAAAAGCTGGAAAAAAGTTGTTTTTACTTTTTATGTGAAAAAAAATGTAATTCTTTAAAATTTTTAAAAATAATTTTTATAAGTATTTAATGATCTTGACAGAAATTAATATTAAGGTAGTTCAAAATGTAATTGCTTATTATTTATAGAAATAATGCAGACAATTTTAGTCTCATCTTTTTAAAGTTCAAAAATCAACAAGTTATTTATATTCTGTTTTAATATTTTTAGTTAATATTTAAAAAAAAACACACAAATAACTTTATTTTAAATTACCTTTTTCAGGTTTATTATTTACATTATTATCGGGATGGGGTGATTATTCAGACATTGGTCTCACAGGTATAGAACTGATTGGGTGCAATGGAATTGATATGATTCATTTGTCACCCGAAATGATTCGTTTGTCATCAAATGAACCTTGTGAGAAACTCTCAAGGTAAGTGTAAAATTATATATTATTGTATGATATTAATAATTAAATTTAATATTTATTTAAAATTAATTTAGACTCATTGATGGAATTAATGTTACTGTGAATAATGAACATATGTATTTATTTGAATCCAAAGAAGATCATATGCCTTGTTTCTTGATCAGATTTAATAATCCTGTAATAATAAGTGGCTTTCGTATATGGAATTATAATGGAAGCACAGATGATGTCTATAAAGGGGTAAATAATTTTACATACTAATTAATTTTAATTGAATATAAGAAGAATGAAGATTTTATTATGATAAAAAGTTTACTTATTTTATTATAAAAATACATAGATCAATGAATTTTGTAATTTGGGATATTTTTAAAATAATGAAAAATTATTTAATTTACACAAATATAGAAAACAAATTTTTTTTTTTAAGTTTCGTTGTCATCAATATATAATATTTGAATATTTTCTTAAACATATAAGCATTTGTTTGATATGATGTAGATATTTGTAATTGGATGGATTAGAACAGTGTTTCTCAAAGTGGGCGATAACGCCCCCTTGTGGGCACTGGAGGCTTTCAGGGGGGCAGTAGAAGGCTCAAAGAGAATTGGGGGGCGTTAAGGAAATATAGAGGGGCGACGGAAGACAAATTCTATATATAAAAATTCGACGGAATATATATAAAATGTTGACATTTTATATATTTTTTATTTTTTATTGAAGGTCACAACTTGAATATTTCTAACACATTGACTTTTATTTTAGCTCAGCGTTTCTCAAAGTAAGCAATAACGCCCCCTTCTGGCGCGATGAATAGATCTATGATAGAGGCAGGGTATTGAACGGTGACCAAAGGCAAAATTGGGGCTGATAAGAGGAAACATTGCGTTTAATGGTTTCCAGATGATGAGAACAATGTACAGTAAGGGCACAAAGTGTGAGATTCATAGAAAAGTTTTCCTAAGAATATTTCCAATCCTTTTCTCACACAAGAGAAAATGGGTTAGGGGGCGTTGGGTATAACTTTATGGAACAAAGGGGGGCGGTGGATCAAAAAAGTTTGAGAATCACTGGATTAGAAAATAAAAACATCAAAGTATTGGAGTATCTAGTTGTGCCATTGGAATTCTTAAATGACTCATCACAAGCAAGAAATTACATAAAATGTTTTGTTAAAGTTTTACAAAATTTGATGCAAAATTTAATCTGTTTAAAGAATTATATGGTAATGACACCATGTCATGTATAAACAGCATAATTATTTTAAAGGCCATAAGTCACCAGAGGACAACAAAAAATGATGCATGATGTTACTTCAGCATGAAAAAATCATTTCTTGAGTTTACAAAGAGATTGTAGATAATTGATATATGATATGGTTGATATTTTGGGAATTTCAGAAGGCTCTATGCATGCAATTTTTTATAACAACTTGAAAGCATTGTGTCTGTTCTCATGTTTTTCCAAAGAAGATAACAGAGGAGCAATATGAAGATCATGAATTCATCAGCAGAGAACTAATTGACACAATTGATAAAGACCCAGATATCTTAAACAGTGATTACTGGTGATGAAAATGTTTCTTGTAAGATTGTACAGTGCAAATGTACTTCTTGAACATGGACACCAGCAACATGGACTCTTCACAAAGGCAGAAAAAATTGGCTTAGCAAATTCCAGGAGAAGGTACTTGTGGTTTTACTTTCCTGGCTGTTATACATACATAATAAGGGAAAGTATTGTAATCATGTCAAATTTTACCCTCAAAGTTTTTTTGCAAATTCCCATGTTTTAAGACCCATGAACCAAAAATGTCACAAACATCCATATCCACAGAATTTTTTTGTGTTTTGGTATCTATTTTGTTTCGTATCTCAGAATGGGGTAAAGACTAAGAAACAAATTTTGGCATGGTAACTTGTGTATAAGGAACATTGAAGCTATTAAGTTTTGGTGGGCGGTTTTTATAACAAAATTTCATAACTGCTGGGAAAGTTATACAACTTTTTGCTAGATTTTTTAATGTGAAAGGCCTCTTGCAATACAAGTTTGCTTGCAGCAGTATACCTGCTACAATGAGTTCCACATTTACATCCTCAGTTATCTCTGTGATGCAGTAAGACAAAAATAGTTTCATATCTGGCAAGCAAAAAGTTAGGTTTTCTATCAGTGCAATGCAAAAGGATCTTCCAGCTAGTGAATATTTGGCAAAATACTAGATACCAGTACTTCTATAGTTTGACTTTTGCAGACCAAAATGAATTCTCTTCTAAAGGATCACAGATTCAAATCAGCAGAAGTGATGAAAAGTACTGTGATTATTTTCACTCAAGAAGATAATGCAGAATAAGCTGCAAGACTGTTTTATTAAGTGGTATGCATTTTGGCAGAAAGCTGTAGCTGCAATGGTTATTTTGAAGGTAGTTTAATGTAAAATTAAACCAAACTTTTATAGTAAAAGTTTTTATAAAAGTGTGGTTTCATTTCAGTTTGATTCTGCATTGTATATAAAATCTTAACTGTACTGTTTAATTTAATTTATTAACATTTATAATGCTCATAAAATATATTTTATTACTTCATATAAAAAAATTTACATTTCAGGTTAAATATTTGTCTGTTAGTTTGGATGGACATTGTGTTTCACCTCCTGAAGGTTACTTGATACGTAAAGGTCCAGGCAACTGTCATTTTGATTTTGCTCAAGAAATAAGATTCGATAGCATGGCCTCTCCTTGTAATGTTGACTCAGCACAGAGTTTATCTCCACGGTAACTTAATTTAAATAAATTCTACTGCACACAAAAATTAGCTTTTAAAATTGTAATTATTTGATTTTTATATTTTGCTTTAGACCAAGAAAAAATACAGATGATACTATTTCAGACTATGAATCTCCAGTTATGCCTCATGGTTGTATCCTTTTATTTATAAATGAGATCTTTGAAGTAATGAATATATTTCATTAGATGCAGGTCTCAATGATAACATATATAACAATATTTTTAAAATTTGAAGTTAGTACATAATTAAATTGGAAACATTTTAATATCTTTTATTTTCTTCAGAATTTTGGAAATAAACATCTTCAATTAAACTAAATATTTAATAATAAATTTAGAGTAAAGAATCTTCAATATTTTAAACATTTTTATATTTATTAAATTAATATTAAGTTTTCTCTTAATAATTGTTTTAGTCATATTTCAATTACAACTCTTATCCACATGGGGCGATGCATATTATATAGGTTTGAATGGCTTAGAAATGTATGATATTAATGGAAGAAAAATATCTCTGACAGAAAGTAGTAAGTTGAAATAAAATTTCATTCATTTTTTAATATATACTTTAACATTTTGTTGCCAGTTGATGCAGTTTTGCATCATGTGACCTTTATATGACACAGAATTTATAACAGCAGCAAAAACCAAATATACTTAAGGCAAGGCAACAGAATAGCACAGCACAATATTATCTCAGCTTATTTACATTGATGACATAAAACTCTTAGATAATTATGCATCCATACAGGTATAGCTATTAGAAGTTACATATTTGTATTCACTGATATTCATATGGAGTTTGGCCTCGACAAATGCATAACATTTCACATTGAAAAAAAGGAATTCTGAAGAAAAAGGACATTGCACTTGGAAATGGCAACTTCTTTAAATCCACAGATGAAGGTCTATAAACATTTAGAATTCCAACAGACAAAATTCACAGATCATGCATAAATCAGATACTAACAAAAGAATAAACAACAGATTAAATGTGTGTTTTTCATTCATTTTAAAGCAGTTAACACACATCATTCCAGTACTACAGTACAAGTTATACATTCAACACCCAGATCTAGAACAACATCCTCATAAACAGAAAAGACAAGACCCTAAAGATATAGTAAATATTCACTATAAACATATATAAACATGTAGTTTTTTTTTTTTTACTGAAAAGAAGAAACATCAAAATTATACAAAGCAGTAACTCTTGCAACAAAATCAATACACCATTAAATGTACACAACACTGATCTGTATCTGATATAGTGAACAGAATGCACAGATACCATGAAGCAGTCCTTAATCCAAAAGGAGTTCCACATTAATTAAGCATCCTAACAATCTCAGCTAGGATCACATTGACAAAACTGCAATAGATTGCTAACTGGCTTTGGAATGTCTCTTTGGAAAGATGGAAATGGAGTTTCAATAAAAAAATAGCTGACAATATTTACATATTTTAATTTATTCTACATATTTTATTGTCTTCATGCTTTTCATCATGTCCAGTCTGCAATGGAAGATTGTGTCTGTTGTTCCTGGTGATTGGATGTGATGAAAAGTGAAGAAATTTTTGTTTCTTCTGCATATTTTATTTTATTTTATTTATTTTTTAAGATGAAAATGGTTTATGATTGCTGTAAAAGACAGGTCATAAATAAATACAAGAAATTATGGAAACATCTTAAAAGACATAGCACTTCTATGATTTCAAGTATAATATGGTATTTCCTACAACACATCATATTGGGCTGCAAGCTTTTAACACAAACTGATTACTTACTTGCATTGACAAAAATCAATTCTTGTTAGTTTATAACAAGATGATTGGTTAACAAACATAATCTGTTCCAAATAGTTCGTTAACCGATTATCAATTTACCATTTTTATGGGAATTTGATTAATTTGTTCTGGAGAACCCAAAAAATAAATAATATATACACAAATGTAGTAAGAAAGTTATATGTAATAATAAAAATACATATATAATAGTCTTGCATTTTTATTATTCATGTTCTTTCCGTATGTGGGGGTTAAAGAATCTGTCTAACGTTGATTGCTTTTCTCTCTTCTTCAGGATTTTTCAGAAACAATTAATAGCATTGTAATTGTAGAGATCCCTAAGTCTATTAACCTCAACTTGGTTTGGATGCCATTATAAGACCATTGTTCTAACATCCTCCCACTTCTTTAAAAGATGTGTAAGAGAAGATATCAGCATTAATCCTCTTTTTCAGAAGAAAACATATCTTGCTGAGTTTCTTGGTGTTGTTCTATTGTCGGATCAGTTTCAGGTTCCATTATGAGCTCTTCAATGTTCTTTATTTCTCAGATGTGATTTTTGTTATTCCTTTAGCTGCTTGAGTCTTCTTGATTATACTGTATCTTTCTTAGATAAGATTGAACTGCAACCTACTGTAGACCTGTTCAAGCTATACTGCCCAGTAACATCAGACATCTTCTGCCCACTCTCACCTTTTGAAAATAAAAACCAATGCAAAACTTATTGAGTGCCCACCCAACAGTCTTGCGAATACTATAAAAAAATTCCTTGTCAGAAAAATAAAAGGCAGGAACTATAAGGGAGAGTTTCAAAATTTAGAGGAATACTATCCGATCAGTATATACCAGGTAGAGCGTCGGTGTCAACATCTCCCACACTCCGAAAAGTTTCAAATTGTTGTCTGAAGACAAGGAAAGACCAATCAGTATTCATTATTTTATGTCACTTCTTCTTGTGTTTGTCCTGTGAGGTGTTCATTATCCAATTTGTTTGTTAACTGATCATCCACTGTATATATATATTTGGTTGTCCTTTATACAAATCTTTATTCTTAAACTGATCTGGACCAAAATTTGTTTGAGTATTACTCTTAGACCATAGAATTGACACTAAGCTATATATTACCACAAAATATTGGGGTGGTGTATAGATGTTGCATCCTTTACTTGTAGTGCCATCTGTTGGCAAAAATAATAAATAAATGCTAATTATTTTTGTTTTCTGATTGTTGATAATTGTAGCCTGCCAACCCCTACCTAAAGGCATCATCACTGTGGAATTACATTAAAAAGTTGTCCCTTTAGATGAGGATCCATCTATTGGAAGACAGATTTGCAGAGAATTTTGCTAAACAAGTTTTGCATTTCAGTGATGACAAATTCACTGAAGATCCAGATACTAATTTGATAACACTTACTACATAAACCACAAATGGATATATGAGAGAGTAATATTGGCATCTAAAAACAAATGCATTGCCAAATATACCCGGTGGAGTTTTTAAACTCCTTGAAACCAGCTGGACTATCACCTCACAATCTAGATCTATAGGTTGGATCACCAGTATTGCATAATTTTGGTGATCCAAATTTCACAAAAGCAACAGGACAAGAATGATTTTTTTATATTTTACAGTTTCATTATTTTAAATACTCAGGTCAATAAATGCACATTTTAATTACTAGGATCATTGTTTTTACCACACTCTCTCAATTTCACATCTCCAAAACCTGAGCAATGCCAGGCACATGTCACTAGTAGCAAATACAATACATCAAAAGCTTGCACACAAGCATAAAATTGCAAATACAAATTTCAGATGGTTGTAGAAAATAACGTATCCCCTGCAACAGACCAATCATCATATCATTAACAAACAAAATAAAGCTTAATTTTTAACTTGAAAACAAGTGAATTATGAAAAGTTTAGTGATATGTATGTCAATCAGCCAGATCTTGTTTTTTAAGACTGTATAATTTGGCAGAATCTTAAAAAACAAGATCCAATTGTAAAGAAGAATACTTCAATTAATGCATAAAAAATAAAATCCTTTAAAATATTTTCTAATTATATGAAAAATTTTATAAATTTAATTTAAAAATACTTTATGTATATTAAAACAGATATAGCTGCCTATCCCGATAGCATAAATATATTAAAGGATGTTAATAATGATATCCGAACACCAGATAAGTTAATTGACGGAATTAATGATACATTAGACGGAAGACACATGTGGTTGGCACCTATACTTCCTGGTGTGGTGTGTAAAATTATTTTATCTATTTAAATATTAATTAATAAATGTTAGAGAGCCTCAATTAAAATATTGTGAATAAATTATTACAGCTTACAAGAGTTTATATCATTTTTGATTATCCCATTACTATATCCATGATTAAATTATGGAATTATGCAAAAACGCCAACACGTGGAGTTAAAGAATTTGGTGTAAGTGGTATTTACTTTGTTCATACTAACAATAATGATGTATTTTATGATTAATTAGTTGAGAAATTCTAGAAGGTATTAGTATGTGTAATAGATTCAATTCAATATAGATTATATTGAATTGAATCTATTATTTTAATAAAAATATAATTTATGATAAGGTAAGCATCATAACTTAAAATAATGTAAAACAAATTAATAATAATAAACATTTTCAAAAATTGACTTTTTTTCAATGCTTATGGAACAAAATTAATATTCAAAACCTTAAATAAAATTTTGTGCATCATGAGGTATTAATTTTTTAACCAGCTTACAGGAAAAAAGTGAGACTTCTTTTTCTAAAATTGAAGTATAAATCATTACTATACATCTCAGATAGGACATTGCATAACTTTTATAAATGAATTGGAATTTTAAAATGGCATTAAGGCAATAAATACATAACAAAATATAACTTAATAACCTTTACTTTTGTATCTACAACTTTATAGTTTGCTGATAATGCATTTGACATCTACTTTTGAATATACAGTCGACCCCCCCTATAATACGGGTTCCTATAGTTCAGATTCCTGTATGATGGCAAAAAAATTGCGACGGTATCCGTACAAACATGGTAAAAAAACTCTTATAATTTGGTAAAACGTCATCAGGCAGCCGAACTACTTTCCGCTGTCCAGCGCCATGCTACAGAGAATTTAGGCAGGTAAATTGAGTTTACTATCGTCTGTACAGTATTATATATAAATTAAGTTAATATATAATTATAACTTTATTATAATTATATATATACTTTCTGCCATCCAGCGCCACGCTACGGAGAGTTTAGGCGAGTAAGTTGAGTTTACTATCGTCTGTACAGTATGTAAATTAGGTACCGTAAGTCTAATACAGCACTAATTTTATACATTTCTTGTGAAAGAAACATTTCTTATTCAACGGCCATAAAAATTATTTATATTAATGATGTCTCCAAAGTTCAACGAAGTTTTCGCAGAAAAATAACTTATCAGAAATCATGGCCGCCGTTTGGTGCGCTGCTCCGCGACGAAAACAAGCTTAAGCAATGGCGACGTCGAACGGTGCACACTCGGTAAGTAATCTTACAATTTTTTGTTTATAGCATAGTTTATATGGATTATTCCCAAAAAAATATATGTGTTTTGGAAATGTTGAGTTGAATTAGTCTAGGAATCGATTAATTTTATGGAAGAAAACCTTTCAAACAGCCGTAGTCCGTAAACTTCACACATGTCGGGCTGTGATTGGCAAGGTCACCTAAAACATCAATTTCATAAAAAACAGAATGTATCTACCATGTTATAGGGGGGTCGACTGTACTGTTTTTTGTGATAAGTTTGCTTTGTTATATATATATATAATTTGTTTTAATTTACCTGTAATAAATATTTATGCTGATATATTAAGTATGAATGTTTATTTTACAGCTATTAATAGATGACCTGTTAGTTTATAATGGTGTGTTAGCACAAATATGTCCAGGATTTGAAACTATTCCTTATCATACCATTTTGTTTACAACAGACAGAGAAATTTTAAACAAAGAAAAAAATACTGTTGTTAGGTATGATTATAAATTGAAGTAGCTGTGAAAATATGTATTTATTTAGAACAATATTTAATAATATAATTAATAATTCATTAACAGGAACCAAGATGTAGATCATTCTGTACAGTTAACAAATAAAACTGAATTACATACAAAAGGAAGTGCTGAAATTGCAGATCAAGGTAGATAAAAAATATACCATTAAAATTAAAAATTATAACCTGTGTATATAGTTTTATGATTGAAAACGAACTTTGAACTTCACTTTAAAAGATTTAATTACATGGATTAATAATTCTCTTCAATACTAAATCAGTAAAGAGTTATAAATTACAGTATAACCTTGATTTATGAAAGCTTCACTTCTGAGTGTTTATCTCATTCCTGAAACCTGCTATAAATAGGAATGAGCTTATCCATTACTTATAAAGGAAATTTGATTATCTTGCTGGAGAGATAATCTCTTCCTTCAAATCAAAAGTACTTTAAAACACTTATTTACCTAACAGTCAATGATTCTAATTGAATTAAAATAAAATTGTTGATTAGTTCCTTTATACATTTGCTTTTCTCATTTGTAAAAGTAAAAATTTCAGTTTTATTTTAATTGTTTTCTGCTTAATCACTGGTAGAAGGGTTTCTAATTTTATCTCTACATTGTAAAGTTAATTAAACTGCATAATCGTATTAGAATGAAAGGCAGTATGTTCCTAGCAAACAAATACACATTGAATGAAACAAAGAATATGGAGACTAGATTTTATGAGCCATCTAATCATAGCATAGGAAAATTTCAGTTTCATCACAATTGTAATTAGAAAATAAAGAGGAGGGATAAAATGAGGCAGCTCAATATTAAATTTTTGTATATCAAATATTTAGAAATCAAGGTTGCACTGTATTGTGATAATTCATTTCTTTGAATTTTATCACATTGTTTATTAATAATCAAAATAATTTGAATCCTAGATTTTATAAATGTAATCTAATAATTGTCTTAAATAGCTCTGAGGCCAACGACGGGTGTGGGACCAGCCTGTCGGAACAGGAGGTGAGATTACTCTTTCCAGAATCAAAGTACAAGTCATCACTGTGATATATCCTTGCACACGTGCCTCAAGTAGGACATTGCACAACTTTTAGAAAAGAAGTGTGATTTTAAAACAACACTAAATATTTAACATCACTTTTGTACCTACAAAATCATGTTTTGTTACAATATGTAAATTTTGTATCTCACGTAAATAAGCACTTGAATTCTATGTTGTTAATAACTAGCAAGATTTAATACTTGCTAAATTTATTTTATATGTTACAAAACTATTATTTCTAGAAGATTAAAATATTCTATAAATTCTTTTGTTTTGTCAATTATTTCTAGGGAAGAAGATTGTGCTATGATTATTATGTAAACAATAAAATTTTTGTAAAAACTTGTGTGATATACAGTAATTTCATTACTAGAAAAGATATTGTATTAATACAGTATTTTTCAACCTTTTAATAGCAGTACCCCTACTTCTTTATCAATGTGGTTATTGAATTTTTCACACTAATACATGTCATAGGTGATGGATGATCAGTGACACCCAAGTACACCATAGTGCACTGGTTGAAAATCATTGGTATGATATAATAATGAGAATATGATAATTATGTCAGCAAATGATCACTGTAATAGACTATCTGAAATTATAATTTTAATAATGCAGAATTTGAAAATTTATTATCAGCATCTGGGTTTTATTACTACATACATTTACTGCAAATTGTAATCAGATTGAATCAAAATTATGACATAAGATTTTAATAACTAAAAAAGAATTAAATCATAATTAGCAAGCACGTAGACAATATATTTTAATAATGTCTAGAGCCAAGGACTCTCAAATATGCTGCTAAGAAAATTTTATAGTTAGGTCAATTCTGTGTGATTCTTTAATCTAGGACTCTAGGATTCACCAAGTATCAAAATTTCTGCTATTTAGGACAGTTTTTGAGAAATTCATCTTGGATAATAGGATTATCCACATTCCTTTGTGTTCATGATTTTATTTCAAGAGATCCTTATACAGTAATACCCGGAGTTACGCGATATTCAAATCTCGTCGATTCGTCTTTTGTTTGAGCGCCACGCAACCCTTGATTACTCACTCCCCCCACACTATTGTTCAGCTTACATGTTCGGACATTTCGCGCGGAATCCACACATAGCTACAATTTATTTTGTGTTATTTATTTCTGTGTTTGTTATATCTACGGAGACTGGAGAGACTCTACTACGTCATCCAAACGAAGTAGAACTAATTCTTCTGCATCAAACAAGAAAAGAAAAACTTTATCTTTGGAATGTAAAGTTAACATTGGGTATGTTCGTAAAGTCGAACGAGTTAAGCGAGAATGAAGTCATCGTTATTCCTATTTCGTTAGACTTTTCGAACGATTCGTTACTAACGCGTTTAACTCGTTTGACTTTACGAACGTACCCATTATTAAAGACTTCGATACAAAAATGAAAATTTGTGAATTGGCAAAGAAGTTTGATCTACCGGAATTGTCGGTCAGAACAATTATAAAAGGCAAAGAAAAAATTCTCGAAGCTGTGAAAAATGCTCAATCTTTAAATTCAAGCATCATTCGTAAACGTCACAGTATTATCGCTGAGATGGAAACAATGTTAAAATTATGGCGTAATAATCGAGTAAATGTGAAAAATTGTAAAATAATATAGGCCTAAATTGTTATACATATGTATCATCTAAGATTTTATTAAGCATTTTTTTCTAAATTATTGTTTTCTTTAGTCTCTGGCCCCAATTAAAAATTATTTGTATGCATTTATATGCGAAATTATACCCCAACTTACGCGGTTACCGCTCAGTCCTACCTATCGCGTAAGTTCGGGGTATTACTGTATTTTCATATAGGTACAACCACAAGTCATTTTCTATAGTAGTCACAGATAACTTATAATGTATCAATTCCATTGATTTGATTCTGGAATTGATTCTTTACTACTTGATTTGATTATTCATGCCATATATGTCAAGCATCAAGATATTCATTTATAACAGATGCAATATGATTTGTTAAGAATGAAGGAATTATTCAATGACAAGTGCCTGAAGTATTAGAGCAGGAGATAAAGTAATTAAAGAAAAAAAATGATTGAACTTACTCTTTGGAGTATATGATCAGAGAACAAAATTATTCTGATGCTAAAATTATTGATCAAAGCAAATTAATATCCTTAAAACAAACAAAATTTACAAAAATATATTTTTTCATCAATATAAGTGATTTGGTAATGTAGAACTCTAACAAAAACAATGGAAAGACAATCCTAGATTCAATTATGATTAAATTGAAATTACAACCGCATTTGATTTAATTTTAAAAGTTGTAGAGCAAAAATATAATATATTTTTGTTTTTGTGCTAAGAGTTTCTATTTAAATTATATTTAAATGTCAACAGTATCCCATTTATTATTAAGTTTAAATTGAAATCATAAAATGTATTTGATCTATATAATAATGGAATATAATGTTTTGACATCATGACAACGGCTGCAAGAACAGCCAAACATATTGATTTTCTCAACCTTTACTATCAACAGTTTATTGTTATCAGTGTTTATCAGCAGTATGTTTTCTTCAGTTCCAAATTTAGCAAGACCATGAACATTCTGATGAAGAGATATAAACTATGCAAGATTTTCAAAGTTTAGTCAATATTGTTTTCAAATTCCAAAGACAAAAGAATTGCTAACATTATTGTGTTAATTGCACAATTAACAACATTGGAGACTGAACTAGGAAGGTTAAAACCTATCACTTCACTATACATGGAAGTGGAGTTTCTGCCTGTCTTTGATCATCTCCAGCTTCAAGCAGTTGCTTTCATTCTGACTGATCTGACTTAGGTACATTCAGCCAATGAAAATTTCTGATCCAGACAGCATCTGAACTTGCTTTTTATCACTGGCAGCAAAGCCAATAACTGTTTATTACATGCACCCTAGCCTTCCTCTGACATCAGGTGTCCAACACTCTACCAAGACCTCTTCTCCATCTGAAGTAGCAATTTGAATGGACAATGATATCAGTGAGGAATGAGTGTCTTGATATTGATATTTCAAGATATGAGGGGAGATTTTTTTTCAATCTCCAATGGTCCATAAAACAAAGACAAGTGTAAATAACAAAATGAAATTATCATCATAAGTTAGGTACAAACATGGTTACTTTTTGACATAATCACTGTGAAGATTGAGGCATTTGTCTATCTGTGGACAAGCTTTGGAATCCCCTCTTCATAGAATGTTACTGCCAGTGATTGAGATGAGCCTTAACATTGTTTTGAAGATTGTCATTAGTCTCAAACCTCTGCCCTGCTAGCCAAGTTTTCAGTTCAGGAAAGAAGTGGAAGTCTTCACACTTTTAAAGTGTGAAGACTTCCACTTTTTCTTTTAAAGTGTGAAGACTTGCCTTTCAGACTTTCACCTAGCTTGGAACTTTTTAAACACCCAGTGTACAGCCCTGATTTAGCACTGAGTGACTTCCAGCTCTTTCCTGAACTGAAAACATGGCTAGGACTAATGATGATTTTCAAAACAATGTTAAGGCCCATCTCAAGTCACTGGCAGCAACATTCTATGAAGAGGGTATTTCAAAGCTCATCCACAGGTAGACAAATGACTCAATCTTCACAGTGATTATGTCAAAAAGTAACCATGTTTGTACCTAACTTATGATAATAATTTCATTTTGTTATTTACACTTGTCTTTGTTTTGTGGACCATCGGAGGTTGGAAAAAAAAACAGCCTACGTATAAAGGAGTAGGTAGCCCAAGAAGCTGATGGTCACTCCACCTGATGTGGTGGGGATCAGATAGTAAAGTCATGGAGTTCCAATCCCTGGTGCAGCATTTATACAGTAGAGACTCTGATGTCCACAGAGCCCTCCAGCTACGTGGATGATGTATAGGCCAGTCCAGTGTTAATTACTAACAGTCATTCTTTTCTCTTAGAACTTGTTCATGTATGTCTTTTCATCTCTATTTATTAACTTGGCAACCCTCATTTTCTTTTCCAACCCCTTGTCCTATTCTGGATTTCAGATCACTCAGGCGTTCCAATCAATAAGGCAATAAATAGCACAGCTTGAACTGACCTAATCTGGTGGGAAACCCCCCTACAGAGAACCTTCTGAGGTCTGTCTTCCTGCCTGCCTACAGACTGACAGGCATGGCTATCAGAGGCAAAGGCTAGACCACCTCTGATCCTTCCATTGCTGGCCATATAAATACTATGTCACATCAGATGGAGATGGTAAAAAATTAATGCCATTTTGTATTCATGAAATATCCCATCTTGTCCAGCCTGCCTATTCCAGTCCATATTGCAGGGATGATGATCATTATTTTGCTGTCAGCTCATTTGTCCACAACATAAACAGGAACAATCAACCCTGGGCTCTTCTCTCCATCTGATGCCAACTAATTGAACAAATTATTTTCTTACAGTGAGTAAACAATATGGCAAAACAGATTAAATCATTTTATTTTCACTGAAAAAAATGTAAAAGTTCCAATAACAGAATGAAATTTTCAGTATAAAAGTTTTCTTTAAAAGTATGACATCATCCTAAACAATGCATTATAAGACTATCACACAGTTGATTTACCTTAAAATAAACACCAATAAAGCAGATTTTGCATTGTCCTGTCATTTTACCATTAACATTAATTTTCATGTGATGAAGCAAACAAAAATCTTATGATAATTTGTTAAACTAAATTGTAAATTACCTTCACAACCCCAATAAGCCATTTCCAATGTAAACAATAAATAGTAGTACTATCATAAATGTTCCATTTAGAGTAGAATAAGTAAGCAAAAATTGGTTTTAACCTCCCATTGTAGAGCAATTTGAACATCTGATTTCAGTAACCATTCTACTGTACAGTATTCAGAAGATAGGAGTTAAAGTTTAAGGACACCTACCACTTTAAATGGATGCAGTCCCATGTAAACACATGCTAGTTTGTATATCAGGGAGTACATACAGTGATTCTGGGTTTGGCTACTTTGTGCCAAATTTGGCTTTTTTTTATTTTTTGGAACCAAAAGTATTTTCATTTTTTAAAATAATCTTCATAATATAGACTAGTATGCTATTCACGCCAAGTAACAATAATTAGTAGTAAAAACTCACTGTGTTTGGCGTTATTGCTCGTTTTTTCCCGTTTATTCAAGCGCTTTCGACGAATATATATTTCCGTCGAATATATATGAAAAATTATTTAATTTTAAATTTGTGTGTTCTTTTATCGAACGTCCATCTTCGATTAAAACATCTTTACCTGAAGACGACGGAAATATATATTCGTCGAAAGCGCTTGAATAAACGGGAAAAAACGAGCAATAACGCCAAACACAGTGAGTTTTTACTACTAATTATAATCTTCAACAGAAACAAAATCACGGATTTCATTTAACTTTGTTTAACCACTCTGATATACCACTTTACAGTCTTCTCCTTATTTTGTTTGATTTGAAAAGCATTTAGAACATTAATTTGTGTTTGTAAATAACTTTTATTTTATTTACCTTTATTTGGTAAATTAATTCAAAATATTACAGTTTAGATATTTCATTTGCCCTAATTCTCTAAATTATACAATCTCAACTGTGATCTCAAATATACAAATTTTCAATAAAGCAAACTAACTATTGTTCCCCTAGCAATTTGTTAACACAAGTTAATTGTAAAATGACCACTGCCAAACTGACCACCAGAATTAAACATTATTGATCATTCTGGTTTTACTATTCTTAGTTATTCCAAGATCTGAATAAAAAATTACTTAAGGAAAGTATACAGAAATGAAAGAATTCATTTCAACTTGAAAATTATGAAAGATTTTGTTCATATCTGAATTATCTAATACCAAATAAAAAATAAAATACTTCATCGTGCTAACCTGAATTACTTCTTTATAATTTATGGAATATCTTATTTTAATAATGGTACCAAAAATGTTTGTATTCTGTTTTTCTAACTTTTGAAATGTTTAAGTTTTTCTGAAGAAGGATCATCAAATTAAGTTTTCAAATTATTTTAATCGCAAATATATTCTAAATATAATAATTATTTAAAATTTCTCAAATGGTTTTTATTCTCATTATGTTATATCTATCTTTCATGAAATTTATCTATCTGAATATGATATTTTAATCTAACTATATGAAAAACAATCAGCAAATGTTTATACAAAATATGAGACATTTAATTATAAATTTATTCCCAAATTTTAACTTCCTTTTTACACCACCTCATTTTATTTTATAAACAAAAACTTTTCCAATTTTAAAGCCATGACACAGGCCATCCCCAAAACCCCTTAACGTCCAGTCCCGAGTTAACTCGGGCATGTTACATAACGTTACAAAAAATGCGGTCCTTTCGGCCCCCCAAAATTTTTTTGATTTTTGGAATGTTTTTTAAGTCTCCAAATTTTTTCAAAAATTTTTACCCGCGCAAAAAACTTTTATCGCGATTTTAATTAGCCTTTGATAAGGCTCGATTAAGGCTTAATTGTTTTTTAATGGGATTTTTTTTATCAAAATTAATTAATCGTTCTAAAGTTGTAGTGCACGGATTTGACTTCGGTAAAGTTATTTAAAGCTACTTTCTGATGTCAAAACGACCTCCGATAGTTTTTTAATTAATAGATTTTATTATATATAAATTTAATTAATTAGGAGAGTCAGAAATCGCAATAAAATTTTTAATTTTTTAAAAATATAGGCCTAATTAGTAGTCATCCTACTTTAAACCCTTGTCCTCCTGAGACATCTGAGAATGCCCCGGGAAATCCCACTGCAGCTGTTCTCAAGGTCACCCAGCTGTGTAAACAATGACTCATCAGTGTCAAATTTCACAGAAAGGCAAGACAATGGAAAATAACATTTGAAGCTTTTTCTTCAAAATTAACGCATTTCTTTCGTTTTTTCAGTTTTAAGTATTTTTTTATGCTTAATTACATTATAATTAAAAACAGGTGGGCGTTAAGACGTTAAGCACACTATATTAGGGATATTTGGCCCATTAATGGCAAATGTCCTTTACATCAAGGAGCCTGGTTAATATGTAGTCTAATGAAATAGCAAAGTAACAGAAAAATTCTTGAATGAAAACTCAAATGCTTAATTATTTATAGTTTATTCCAGGTTAAGTATCAATGTTTAGTCATGAGTATACTTCTAATGTCATAGCAGTTTATGCCTAAATAAAAAGTGTTAAAAATCCATTAGAAGTTGCATTTTCCATCTTTATTACTATTTAGTAATTAATTTTTAACTTTCACTTACAACCAAGATTAATTAAGTTTATTTATATAATGAAAACTGCTACAAATCATTCATGTATTGTTATGCTCTCAGTTAATTTTTCCTCAGGAAACAATGCATGAGAAAATTTTACAATATCCAAATGAATTCTACAATAAATAATCTTGACTAATTCGGGTAATGCTTTATCATATCATTTAAAGACAAATTTATAGAACTAACTCAGAATTTTATTCTTACATCCATGTTTAATTACAGTTCTTTACTAGTAAGTATTACTGAAAGTAACAAAATAATTAGTTATTAATTAATTACATCAAATTTTTCCAGGAAATCTACCTTCTTCTATTTGCTCGTCCCATTTTGCAATCTAGTTATATATATAAAACAAAATTCTAAGTTAAATGTATTAATGGATAAAAGATAACTATAATAATAATTATTTACCCATGCATTGGGGCAAAGAGATTTGTACACTCTCTTGAAATATTCACAAGGCTCGTAGTCAGTTCCTTTAATTTTCCGGCATCGATGGTAGTCAAGAAAATTCTGATAACAGTTTCTAAAAATAACATATCTTAGTCAGATTTAAATTTCATTTGGTTTAGTATCAATGTATTGGGCTTTGGGAAGTTTATTATATAAACTGATATTTTGTTAATAATTTTATTAAAAACAAAATGAGCAACAACAAGATAAGAATGATGAACTATAAAAACTAATAATTAGTCTGAAAGTTTTTTCACTACTTTAGTCTTAAATTATATTTATCTTCATTATATAAAATGTAAATGTTTAATAAAATCATAAGAAAATTTTAATTAGTATCTTCCCTAATCATTTTTAAAAGTATCATAAACTAACTTATATACTTTAAAATTTTTGTTATCACTACTAAAAATTTACAGAAATGTTATCAAAAGCATCTTATTTTAAAAAAGTGCTATAAAATCATCTTTCTATTGATTTGGTTAGTGAAACTAAATTAATATTAATTAACATTAAAAGTGCTCAGCAAGTAAACACAGAAATTAAAACACCTTAATTTGTTGCTGAGAAATATAATTGAAAAACTAACATTTTCAACCTGATTATATTTCTCAGCAACAAATTAAGGTGTTTTAATTTCTGTCTTAATATTAATTAAAAAAATATATACTTTGTCTGATTCTGATTTGGGAATCGAGGATCAAATGGAGGTGTCCAGAATTTATATTCTTCAGTTTCGCCACCCATGTTATCTGTAAAAAAATTAAATATTAATTACATATAATTTCAATTTTTTAAAAATCCAAGAAATAAATTGTAAAATTTCATCAATGCTATATACCTCAATAACATAAACAATTTAATTCCCACTGTTAATGAAAGCATCATTTAAGTATCTATAACTTAGATTGTTTGTTTAAAATATGTCTATCTATCTCAGTCAATTTAAAGATTAGTCCAACGGCAAAAGGGATTTTTCCAACACTGCATGTGTTCCAACACACTAGTTTACCAACATAATGCAGCATTACTGGGTATGCATCTAGAACTATGTAACTAGTCTAGAAAATGAAGTGGCCACGGAACAGGGCAATGCTATCCTATCTAGCAATTGCCAAACCACTCTGCAAGCCACTGATGCACATCTGTCTGGGAATGAGCTGGCACACCATCATGCTGGTACCAAACCACTGTAGTTATCACATACCCTTTTTGTTGAACAATTTTTTTTACTGAATACATTAATTTTTTTATCATTGTGGCATTTTTTAAAAATGATTATTAAAAATTTTTTGCCTTGGATAGATATTTATATGTGAGAATCCAAACTTTAACAAAAATCAGTCGATATCGTCATACTTGTAGTAGTAATCTCAAGTAGGGAGTGCAAGTGGAGATTTTCTCAGGTAGTAGATGACGACAATAATTGTTGTCATCTACTACCTGAGAAAATCTCCACTTGCACTTTCTCAATGGCAAAGCAATGTTTTACCATGATCCCTTGATCTCCCGGCCATGCATTACCAAAGATCGTAATTGACGGCTGAAAGAGGCAGTTGCCGCCTAATTCTCTGAGGCAAGAAGTCACCACCCAGTCTCTAATGAGAGTCTCTGCCAGTTCCTTGACTGATAATCTGTACTTCAAAACAAATTAACCTATCAACTTGGACCCGAAACATTTGTGCTTCTGAATTGGAATAACTTCGTTGTCAAACCTGAAATAATTCTAGATTTCATCAACTTCAAATCTACTCCCGGAATACATCTTATCCAGAACTGTTCAACCTTTCTAAGAAATAGACTGGCATCAAGTCTACAACCAGATCCTTCAACTACAGGTATTTATCGCCATGCGAACCTCAAGTAAACTCTCTCTTTTGAGAAATGCAGAGGTATCTAGACCTATTTTAGCTCAATTTATTATAACTCGTTTAACAATATAAAATGTAATTTCCTTTACAAATAAACGGTTGTTTTGTTAACCTAGTCCTTACACGAGTCATTTACTGCTTGCTATCTCCATTCTGAATCCGATCGCTTACTCATGTGGCCACTCTCATGACCTTTCTAATTCAAACTGATTTGCCATCACAGCTTCCGTGTCAATCGGGACACGATGGTGTCTTCCTGACAGGGCATTGAAGAGGTGCCAATTCTCCAGTCACATATATATAAATTATTTTAGCACTGGAATAAATAGGCATCCCCATGCATACAATCTTGCAATGCTGGGGGGAAAAAAACTCTTGCCTGGACAGATGTTTAAGTGGACACCCTATATATATATCAATTTAAACAAATTAACAGAATAAAATAAAAATATTATAAAATTATATTAAAATTAACATTTGAACAAAAACTCAATTAAGAACATGGCTGTAGAGTCAAAATCAGAGCAATTTTGTGCAGAGATAATAAAAATACCATTAACCATTTTAGTAGGTTATTATTATTAATACATTGAGCTTTTATGAAAGACTTTGGTTCATCATTACACTAGGCATTCTGTATAAGAATACACTTCACGAACACAATATTTTAGCATTTATCATTATAAACTAAACAAAAAATAAACGGAAAATTTTTAATGTAAATGATGTCCACTGACACAGATTTAAAAACTGATTGCTCAGTTTCTAAATAGAAAACTATTTATAAAGATTTAAGAGTTATATAGATAGGAAAAATTACTTTTTAAAAGTATAATAAATATTAATTAAAGCAAGCATTGACACACAAACAGGAGAGAACTCAAAGTATAGGCTACATATCTTTGGCAGTTTCAAGAAAAATCATGAAGGCACATGTCTGGAGTACAAAAAATACTTTACATTTTCTAAAGATGTTCTGGTGATTTTAGATAAAGGAAAGTTGCTTGATGAGTTTGTAACTAAGTTAAAATTGTACTCACTTTCAAATTCATATATTATATGAATATAAACATTTACTATAATTATTGTAGTAAATTCAATATTTGTAGTATATCAATCTTTTTACTGTCAAAAAGCAAATCTACATATAATTTTTGATAGTCTTATAAGACAAGTAAAATCCATTGTTAGTATTTGCCAAAGATTATTGGTCAAAGTACTGGAGAAATTATGTTTACATTTTCTGTATATCTGGATAAGTTTCTCACAAAAAGTGCAGTAGAGTCCTGCTAGTCCGAACTAATTGGGACAGAGCCCTGTTCAGCTTAGCCAAATAATTGAAATAATGCAGAAGCAAGCAGTAAAACAGATCTGGATTATATAGATCCAACACCATGAATGACTTATTTCTGTATTGTGTGTAAGTACAGTATAGATCTGCTGTTTTAATAGGCCATGTCAAACACTGATTTATTAATTTTGTACAGTATTAATACAGTACTACAATAAAATACAACTTTTTGTTGTGGAATTCTAAATCTTTTTGTACTATTAATACCATTTAAATTCAACTGGAAAATACAGAAAATGTATACAGTAGATCCCCCTATAAAACCGTTTCCTATAGTTATGATTCCTATAAAAATTGTGGCATTATCCGTAAACAACGGTAAAAATAACTCCTATAATACGTAAAACGTCATCGGGCAGCCGAACTACTTACCCGCCGTCCGTAGCGCCACGCTACGGACGTTTAGGCGGATAAATTGAGTTTAGTATCGTCTGTTCATATAATTATATATAAATTAGGTACTGTACATATAATTATATATTAATTATATATAAATTAGGTACTGTATATATAATTATATATTAACTTAATTTATTGTAACTTTATTATAATTAAATATATATTTTTCGCCGTCTAGCGTCACGCTACGGCGAGTTAGGCGACCTATCGTCTGTCCAGTACTGTAATTTTATACATTTCTTGTGAAAGAAACATTTCTTATTTAACGGCCATAAAAATTATTTATATTAAGGATGTCTCCAAAGGTCAACGAAGTTTTCGCAGAAAAATAATATCAGAAATCGCGGCCGCGGTTTGATGCGCTGTTCCGCGACGAAACCAAGCTTTAGCAACGGGCGTAGTCGAACGGTACACACTCGGTAAGCAATCCTACAATTTTTTGTTTATAACGTAGTTTATACGGATTATTTTCAAAAAAATATACGTATTTTGGAAATGTTGAGTCGAATTAGTCTAGAATCGATTAATTTTATGAAAGAAAACCTTTCAAACAGCCGTAGTCCGTAAACTATGATTCCTACAAAATTGATTCATAAAGAACGGAACGCATCTACCGTCTTACAGGGGGATCTACTGTATTTTGCGAGCCAAAAAATTTCCTCTTCACCAACTGAAACATGTTTGGATTAGCAGTGTTCAGGCTAGTGGGACTCTACTGTATGTATATATTAGTGTATTTTTCCATAATTTAAGCTAAATTCAATATTTTCTTTTGTAAATCTGTACAGTGGAACCTCGGTTAACGAACTTAATCCGTTCTGTGACTCTGTTCATTAACCGAAGCAATTTTTCCCATAGAAATTAATGCAAATACAATTTATCCATTCTAGCCTCTGGAATTTTTGTAATTTTATTTGTAAAACGAATTTTCTTTGATGAAAATATATGAAAACATAGTATCAATCATTACAGCAATAAATATGTTAACTTTATTTAATGAAATAGCACTGTACAGTACATGCCTTCGTTTGTTGTACTTGGCAGCAGAGGAGTGGAGATGTACAAAGTTTAATGCTTGGAAGGGGAATCCCTCTCCATAAAAATATTGGATAGCACTGCATCGGGAGATTCTTTGAATCCAGGTCTCTTTTGATAAGGAAAAAGAAAGTGGTCTCAAGTTGATTGTATTACTCTTTTAATCAAAGTTTTTCTAAAATGGAATTTCTCGATAAATTCCTGCACATCATTCCATTTCCTGCAAATTTCCTTGATCTCAGCACTGGTGATTTATTCCCTAACCTTCTCTTCCAGTGACTAATGCTCTTCCTGTTGTTCCTGCAAGGCAACCAGCTCTTCTGTGGTTAGTTCATTTTGATGTTCATTTATCTACCCCTCCATGTCTGCATCATCTACCTCTAATTTTGACACAAAAAACTGTTACATTCGTTATCCGAGACAAAATTTCTGCAGAATAAAAGTTTGTTAATCAAGGTTCCACTGTAGTTTATTATAACAAATGATTTGTAAAAAACAAAACTTTGATTGATAATGACTCCACATTATAAAAAAAAATATGGTTTAGATTTATAACTGTTTAAAATTTCCCATATGAAACACTGTAATTTAAATTAAATTGAGAGAAAAATTTTATGGCTTATTTAAACAATTAACTATTTCTTTTAATGAAATAAAATTTTGCTTTTGTTTATTCACAAAATTACATATATTGCAAGATATGACAATTATAAAAGTTTAGTTTGTTGTAGCAACAAACTGTTGAATTATTCTAATTTTTCCTCCTATCTGCAGCAATTTCTATGAAATACTAGCAGGTGGGCCCGGCGTTGCTCGGGCAAAAGTAACAATAACTAAGATAAAGATTATTACATTACAGTCAACCTTACCCGTTTTCACAGAATGCAAGAATTGGGTCCCCTTGTTTCCAGACTAATTAGAGAATTTTTAGATGGGTCTAAAAATATGTTCGATTTCCCGCAAAAACGAAAAAAACTGCATCTGCGTCTTGCACGTCGCTTTCTCTTAACAATTCCATTGTTACGTAGCATTTCCATTGTTGACACTTCCATTGTTACTTAACACTTCCATTGTTACTTAACACTTCCATTGTTACTTAGCACTTCCATTGTTACTTAACACTTCCATTGTTGATGGAAGTGTTAAACCTTAATCCTGTCCCTCTCCCC